AGTATAACATATTAATTTTAAAAACTAATACCATCTTGAAGTTAGAGTGTATGTACTGAGTAAAGAGGTAAGATATTTAAATGGAATAAAATTCTCGCGTATGAAATATATTTTATTATATTTGCGAATTGGCATAAGAAGCAAAAACAAGCTCTGCTTGAAATCATTTACATGACCGAAGATTTTTTATGGTCCATAGATTTCTATAATGTTCACGCGTTCCACAGGAAAGATTAAGAATATTAAAACTAACATATTAGCATGTCGATATCGGCCAATTCTGGATTCTATCGTCCGTGTAAAAGAGTATTTAGTTACTTGAAGTAACTTTATCGAGAGGTTTGGTAAGAATTCAAATTTAATCAGCTGTCCTCGATTTTAAATATTTTTTTATTATGATAATTAACCATAATGAATATTTAAAAATATATCTTTTTTTTTTCTTTATTCATAATCACAAAGCCTGTTGCATTTATTTTAAATAGCATGATGTACATACATTGTTATGATTAACATTGATATTCAAAGTTTCTCAATTCATTTGAAGATGTTTCATTTAGATAAATATATTTAAAAAGTTTCCTAATGGTGATGATAGTGAGATTTATTCAATGAAAATTAAATTTACGAATTCAAGTGAAAACAAGTCATGAATAATTTTGTGACATGATGAAAATGAATGTACCTTAATTTTTCTATAAATAATCTCTATATGTCAAGGTCTTGAGTCGATTCACGAAAATCTGTGCTTCTTTGACGCAATTATACAGTTGTTTGAAATTACATTACGCCACTTTGAGGAAGGAGAAGTGAGGGAGGTAAAAAATTGCGCATAACAGTCTACAGTTACCCGAAATAGATGAATGTATGCTATTTAAAGTGAGAAGAAGAGAACGTTCCATAATCTTACAATGTTATAACTTTGCTCCTTTTTCTCTCATTTAGAGAGGATGAATGTCGAAATCAAGATTGTAACGGAGAATTGTGTATGTCACGCGAGAGTCAAGACATTCTCTACTGTTATGTTCTTGCCAAAAATAAAACTAGCAAATATTATTAAATCTATTTTTTTATCTTGTCTTCTTCTTCTTATTCTTGCTTCGGTGACTATCAATTTCAAACTCAACAACGAACTGTGTGTTGATAAAGTTACGCCTTGCTCATTAACATCAGTCCCTCCTGTCACTTCAAGTCATGTCAACAATCGTCAGTTTCATCTATTAAGAAAAGAACTAAAATAAAATATTTTAAATGTAGATAAATATTTTTCTGACTGTTTTTAATATTGTTGGACGTCAGAATAATTTATATTTGTTTGGTGTAAAATGTAATTAAGGAATAATTGGTGAATTTTTTTTTTGCAACTAAAAAAATAATGAATAAGATATTTTTGATTTATAGGAAATGATTTTATATTGTAAATTAATGTGAATTAAAATTAATTGAGTGCATTTAATGTTTAAAATTTTAAACTTGTAATGTTGTGATTAAAAATGGCATTTTAATTGAGATGATATTTTTCTTATTCATCAGATTGGAGACTGGTGAACATAAAAATAACTATACAGTCTTCATCTATTCATTATACTCATTATTACCAATTAATAATCCATTCATAAAGAAGAAATTTATTGTAAAAAAATAGAGTGTAATTAATTTCAAATAATTTTCTATCAATTAAGAATAATTTTTATTTTCGTGTAATTTCTACTTTAAATTAGGTCATTTTTAAATCAAAATATTGCAAAAGTAAAAACAAAATAATATATTTAAGATTATTATTCAAATAATATAAATTTAAATATAAATCGATTCCACTAGTTTATTCGAATAATTTTCCATTAAAATGTACAATATGATTGATTTAATATTGTTAAAAAATTAGTTGGGAGAAAAAATTTTTAATTCAATTTTTTCCAACGTTTCTAAATGCAAATCAATGCAAATTACTCTCCAATATTATCAGAATTTTCTTCTGGCAATAAAATTCTCTCCAACCATTTCGCAATTCCTCTTCAACCTCGATTACTGAAAGCTCAATTCGCTGTAATTTAAAACCACTTGGCATTGATAAAATTTCGATCAAAATTGGCTAAATTGTTTCCTCCACATTGCATCAATTTTTAACACCACCGGAATCTAAAAATTCTAATGCCATTTAACTAAATATCTAAATGTTTATTTGTGGGTGTTTATAACACTCATAAATAGTGTCAACGTAGATATTTAAATCTCAATAAAACATGTATATTCCTGATTAGAAGTTCACCCTTAAAACGAAGCATCATTTTATCACTGACTGTTAAACAAAACAAAAAACAAAATAAAGAAAATAAAACGTGTTCTATGAATGCATAAAACGTAACGATCGTTTTAAATTTTCATATTAAAACATCTTTATACAATGTATACGATAATAGACAAGTTTACATTTGACGCTATAAAGATAGTGACGTCAATACTTTTTGATTAAAGTAATACGTGATTCGCATATGGAATTACCATTGACGAATGCGTCTCACTCAATCTCCTTCATTTCAGATATAAATGAACAACAATTCTTATTCATTACCATTGTCACGGTTTGAAGCACAAGACTATTATTAGATATCACAATCGCCAAGGGACTGTCTAATGGAATTCACAAAATGACTTCCGACATAGACAATCGATCGACCTCAACAAACACCTTATGACATTTTCCTTAATGCCATCCTCAATTAAAATTTTTATCCTTTTTTATTTATCATCTTCTCAATTTAGCATAATTAGAGACTTTCGATGAAAAGAATGATTCTCCAGAAAACAAAACACCTGCTAACTTTTATATAAAGTTAATTACAAGAAAGTTTATTTAAATGATGCATTTAAAGTTTTATAAAATAATTATGAAGCGTCTGTAAATCATTTTATAGCCCAAAGCGCACAGTAAAATGAAGCATCCGGTTTTCTTTGTGTTTCTTCCGTTCGTTGCAATCAGACAAGCCTTGTGTATGCCTACAATGTTGGAGAGATGTCGAGAAATACAATAAAAATAATAAAAAATAAATACTCAAGTGTTAAAATAAAACGATAAATGACAGAGTATTCAATCATTATTTCTTCTTGAGTACCTTGAACTGTTGTTACACCCGACTGTTTTACACATTTCTTTTTACCTTTTTGTTTTTGTGAAAGGTTGATTTTAAACCCTCTCTTCTTCCTTGACATCGCGTGCACGTCCTCTGTGGCTGTACAGTGGGTTTTAGTCAAGAATACACTGACTACATCTCGTAGTAAGAATACTCACGCATATCTAAATATACACTTGTAAATACCTATATATATATATATATATTCTATGGGCCATAGAAAGAAGTAGAAGCCGGTTGTGTATGTTACAGAACACAGATTTTACCCGTAGGCATCGTAAGTTTTGTGTACTGCTGATGTTCTGTTTTCTCGCTTCAGGATTACATGTCTTTATTTTATTTTATCTTTTATTTGTGGTCATTAAAATTATTATACTTCAAAGAAAGTACATTGTCTTTCATGTATATATCAAGCACATTTATGTACTCTTTGCTTCTGTATTAGACATTGATAAGAGTTTATTTAAAAATCACTACTTCCTACTGAGGGAAACAGAAGGTTAATTAAAATGTTCTCCATATCGTGGATTATGTATGTATGTATATATAGATGATGAAGGAGTAAAGACTTAATATTCACTGAACTTGTTATGTCGTTATTTCAGTGACGTACATTTAATTACTACTATCATTTTTTTTTTTTTTTATACAAAGAAAAAACGAATGATACTTCAATTTCAATTTTCTGCTGATTTAATCCTGTATGGCAGAAAATAACTATTACTGAAAAAAATTCAATTAATTTTAATTTTATTTTTTATTAATAAAATAAATGTAATAAAAAACAGAAAGATTGAATGGAAATGGATAAAAGAAAAAATATCTCTGGTATAATTTTATTAAAAATAATGACAAATTTAAAAATTTTATTGCAGTGATTTTGATTTGAAATGAAATAAAAAAATTCTTTTTTATTGTAATAAAGTAGAAACAAGTTGAATAAAATCATCAAAATAGACTTAAAGATATCATCAAGCATTTATTCATATGTTGAAAGTCCTAGATCTAACCTTGGTGTTGACTGACAGCTTATTTTATGTAATAGTGTAAAATAGCTTTTATAAGTATTTAGATTAATATCAAGTCAAAATTGTTTTCAAACTCTATTAATGTATTTTAGTTGATTTTACGAGTTACATTAGATCATATATTAATCATTATTATGATAGTTTTATATTTTACTATTAAAATATCATAATTTTTATTTATTTTTATCAGATAAAGAAAAATCAATCTATCAAATAATTAAATAATGACAAATCTAGACTATCAAAAAGTCAAGTCTAACAGAAAATTTCATCATCTCCATAAATTAAACATTTATTTAAACAAATTTTTATATCTTATACATTCGGAATAATTCATGTGGTTGAAACGAATTATTTAACACTTCATTTGTCAGAATCGGTTCAACCATTTAGGCTTTAGATGACTTACAAATTTATGTACGCACGTATATCGTACGTACAAATGTAGGTTGTTAAATACATAACTGTTCTTAACGAAAATAATCCAGTACAAATGATAAAAAATGTGTATTTAATTTTTTATTTTTTAATGATTATTTAAAAAACAAATTTATCAAGATTAATTTATTTTGATCCATACTCTATATTACATTAATTTTTGCTTGATTATTTCAAAGATAAGTAATAATGCGTGTCAAGAATTAATTAAATATTTTATTCCTAGTCAACAGGTTCATTATAAGTTGTTTACATCTCTATTAAATCAGTGGAAAAAAAATTATTTATTTAACATAAACAGTTATAATTGAAAATTAGGAATTAATGAAAATTGAGTTATTTTTAATATAAATAGTTGTATTAAAATTTTAAACATTTCTGGTGTAATTGTTATCAAGTAATAATGATAGAGAAGGATGGGTTAACCTCGGCAATGAAGCAAACAATTAAGGTCATCCTTGTATGTCGTATGGTGACACATTGCTAACGTGTGTACACACATGTATACATGGATCGTTGGTTATCTAACGCTTTGGTTGATTATATATAGGTAGATTTAAAGAGTTATATATTAACCGGATAAAGCAGGATGCTGTATACGTATATATCTCTTGGGTAGGTGACATCCAAAACATCAGTTTTTATATACTGGTTGGTACTTCCGGTGGTCATGTGTCCATTACGAATGAGTCGATTTATGTATGCAATTGGAGGCAATCGGTTGCGAAAGGAAATGAATAATTTATCGATAAAAAAATCTGAAATATGACCACTTGAATTATGAGCATGAATTTATTTTCGTTACAGATTGGCCACACTTCACCCCCACCACCAGCACCATCCACTGGTCACCAACAACACCATCAAGATACATCACCACCACGTGGTCCGCGAACTCTTCTGCTACGACGTAGCGAAAATGGCTTCGGATTTACGCTTCGTCACTTTATCGTCTATCCGCCCGAGTCCTGCTGTGTAAGTCATCTATTTCCTTAATGACATTATATCAGCTATATGTGGATAACATTAAACAATTGGATCTATATGTACTTTAAATGTACATTAAAAGGTTGATCTGGAGTTTATTGGATCTTGGAAAAGATGTAATTAGTGAAATTTAATTATTTTTATCCAAGGCTATGGCTTACTTTCAATTACTTTATATAGATGATGTTTTTCTTATTTACTTAGTGGTTTATTTTAGATGATGTTTTGCTATTTTTATACATTAATATCACTAATATTTGCTCGAATAAATTTCTTTCATGTTTTTTGTGAATTATTTCATTATTTAACTTATTAAAGTATTATTTTTTAATTGTTTCAATAAAACATCACAGATGATAATTATTAATCTTTTTTTAATCTACATTAAAGTACCGTTATAAAAATACTAGATAAAAAAGTCAATAAACTTTAAAAAAATGTAATTATTTATTTTATGGTAATTGCACTTCTTAATTTTTTACACTTTTTTATGAATACTTAATTTTTTTTTTTTTCATTAATTAAAATTTCATTTAAATCACTTCATATTAATGAGTTTAATTAATTTAATTTTTAATTGATAATAATTGATTGTTTACTAATAATTATTAGAAAAAAGGTTTAGTTTTAATTGGAGTATCTTCACAATTTAATTAATTTAATTGTTTTAAAAGTCATTGAAAAATTGAATCATTAAAAAACATATTGGTGAATGACAACAGATGCTGCCAGGACACGAGCGGACAAAAATCGATGAACCTATGGACACGATCTTCGTGAAACAAGTTCAAGCTAATTCACCAGCAGCGGAAGCGGGGCTTCGTACGGGTGATAGAGTGGTATCAGTAGACGGTGTGCCAACTCGTGGAGAGCAATACGCCAGTGTTGTTCAACGTATCCAGAAAGCAGACCCTTGGCTCAGGCTTTTAGTGGTTTCTAAGGAAGACGATATTTTGCAAAGGGTAGATATTTATATACATCTCTATAATTATATCAATGTCTATATATAATTAAGTATTACAACATGACGTCTAAATATGTTATTTTGATTTTAGTACTTTGGGGAAACTGCGCATAATCCAGAGACGAACCAACGACCAGCGAGACTAAGGTCGCCTGAAAGAATTTTACAAAAACAGAGGAGATCTATGAGTATGATTCCTGGGCCATCGCCAAAGTCAAGACAGTCTTGGGTTTGTCAGTCTTCTGGTTCAGAAAATCAAGTGGCGATAGGGTCTTACCGTATACGAGACGACGGATTTAAGGATCAAGCTGCAAACAAGATGACGACATCAGCACCTAATATCCAGAGAAGACCTTTAGTAGAAGCACGGAATCACGAAGGAATTTATGGACGCACAGATGACAGAAGCCAGAGGAGATCACTGCAACAACAGGATATTCTTGATCCGATGGGACAGTCATATAGATCTCCACCTGATACGAGATTTGATTTATATGACCGCACACGTCCAGAGTCTATATATTCTCGGCCGAGCAGCGAACAAATCTACGCTAGAATTAAAGATCCAATTTATGAAAGGGTCCGACCAGATTTAAATACATTTAGTAAATCATTGGATCATCAGTATCCTATTTCTAGAGCAGAGCCTCAGGTTCCTATTTATCGGCCTGGAAGACGTGTCGTGACAAGAAGAGCAAGTGAAGGAAGTGGTCCAGTTGAATCTGAAGCACCAGCATATACCGCATCTGATAGTCTTAAAGCAGCTGATCCAGAATCTAGATTAAGCATAGAATCAAGAAGAGATTCTTCGCCAATCAGTAAAGATAGTAGTATGTCCTCATACGACTCAACTTCTACTCTCACGGGGAACGAATGTTCCGACGATTCTATCATGACAAGGCTACGGAAAAGCTTTGAACAGAAAGAAGAATTTCTACGAAGACCGAGTCATCCAATTGGATGGCTTTTACCCGACGAAGATACCCGAATAAACCAGAATCAAGGTGTCATTCAGAGAGAGTTCTATGCTCGACCGCAGAAATTGCAGCGACAAGTTTGGCCGCCAAATGAACAAAATCAATCTCAACAAGAACAGACTCATCAATCTTCGAATAAAAGCACTTTGGAGAGGACAAAAAATTTTAAGCCAACGAATCAGAATGTTCAGAGAGTTCGTGGTGATATGGAGTCGGGAATTGATGGGTCTAGTTCTGCTGAGGTGAATAAAAATGGCGAACGTAGTAGTCTAGAAGATACGCAAACAATGAGAGATAGATTTTACTCATCATTATATGATAATAATGGTGAATTTATTAAAGAAAATCATTACCCTTATAATACTATTACAAAGAGTAATGAAGTTCAAGGTCGTACTACTCCTAATTCATCACCACGAAGTTCCGCTAACAACAAGGCCGCTTTTGTTACAACCTTGACAAGGATTCATGAAAATGTTGGACAACAGCAACCACTAGGAGGTCATGATATAAAAAATGGTACAACGTCACTGCCTTCATCACCTGGGCTTGATAAAAAGTCGTCTGACAAATTTCCAGTGCCGCCTCAGGGTCTTCAAATTGTATCACGAAGAGCTAAACAGTTTGAATCTGGTAGATTACTCAGCGACGATGACGAACCCACTAGCGATCGTACGAATTTATATAAAAGCGAATTATCAAGATTATCAAATAAACGAAGTGTTCCGAATGTTGCTGTGAGAAAAAGGGAATTTGAATCGAAAGCTGAATCACAAGAGTTGAGAAGAATTACGGCAAATCGTGAAAGTAAATCATTGGATTCTGGTAAGATATATTTTTTCTTTATTTTAGACGATTGAATTGAATATCAAATGAAACATCACTGATCATTCAAATTGACAGTATTATTTTACTTTATGTATTCACTTTCGTTGTGAGTTGATTATTTTCATTTCATTACATTTGATCCTAGGCAAAGGATTATCAGGAAATCGAATAATTCCTATAGGCAGCAAATACATCCACTGTGAACCACCGTCAGGTTATAAAGATGAAAAAGGTAGAAAATAGAAACGACCGGAAAATTGCAATGTTCAATGTGGCCTGAATCGTTTTTTTTTATTGTATTTGTTGATTTTATTTGTTTTTTTCTTGTTTTTAGTTGGAAAAATAGAAAATAAAAATAACATTTGCAGGTGTGGTCAGAATTATATTTGAACAATGTTCTGAAAAATTTATAGTTCAATAGTGAATAATTCAATGGAAAGAATATTGCACGGGAAGATAAAAAATATGATGAAAATTCTCTTGGAAATATTTTAGAGGAGGTTTTTCTACTACGTTATTACATGCTAGTCAGAAAAATGAAAAATATTATTTTAAAATAAATACTATAACTTTTTGGTTCTTATTTTATTTTTGTCAATATAAGAAAGATATTTTAGCTTTTTTATCCTGATAACAAAAACCAAAAATAGTTTATTTGAAAACAATTAATCAAACTATAAACTAGAATTAATTATTGCAATTTATAACCTGTCTTTTATTTTTTTTTTTTGATCATTTATTTATCAGTTGTTTTATTAAAGCTTGCTTCTAATCCAATATTTGTTATCAACAGAAGAATCTCCTCCAATAAAAAAAGTTGTTCAACTATTTTTGACCAAAACTGTACTGGTAGTTTAGTATTTTTGTTTTACCGAATTATATTGAAGTGAGGCATATAAATAGATGTATCGTCAATTTGTATTTGTGTGACTATCGATATAAGTGCTAATTTAACATGGAAGTGAACTGAGAAAACGTTCATACATAAGAAACACTGATTTTATTTGAATGTTGTATGGCTGTGTCGTAATCAAGCACTCCGTTAAGTATATGTTCAAGTGTATTACAGATCAATGGATGAAGACAGCTTTGAATTGAAGAATTTTATTTCTAATTGCTTTTTGCAATATAATAATTTAGTTGTCTTTCGTACAGAACCACCAGGCATGGATATGGAACCGGTTCGGTTGCGAGCGAGAAGTAATAGTGCTGAATCTTGGGAAGCCGTGAACGGAGGAACGACCCGACGAGGCGTTAGACATACCTGGCAGACAGAACCCGACGATCCAGAGGGCGAAACACGAAACACTAAGGCAAAGAGACAAGACAGCTATCTCCAGGCTGTTAGAAACCACCTCGGTTAGTCTGCAAAAAATTTTCTTATCCGATCTTCCTATAGACGAGTTTTGCATAGTAAAAAAAAAGAAATTAGATGTAAACCAGCACTCATGAAAAGATATGAAAAGGTTTAAAAACTATTAAGACTCGAAAAAATTTTATCCTTAGTAGATGAAAAGATGAGAATAGAATAGACTAGTGTAGTGAATGAGCATCTTGTAGTAGTATTCACGACTATTCTTTTTAATATTTTTCTATCGAATAATCTTCATTGATTAGCAATTATTTTAGTTGATTAATTGATCTTGTTTCTTGACATCAAAGATCATTTTGCTGAAATTTATTTCTATCGTTTAACGCTTAGAGAATCAAATAATGACTTATTAGACAAAATGTAGACTGACACTATTTGATTGACGTAAAATAGAGAAAGAGTCGAGTAGTCCTCGACCAAGTGAAACAACTGAAGACAAGAATGAGAAGACAAAAGCCACGCAGCCAAGTGTAACTGTCTTTACTCCAACAATATCAACAGAAGTTGCGAAGACGGAGGGTCAAGTTTTGATGCCAACAGTTACTATAAGTCCTCCTCCATCAACACCACCAGTTAGACCCAATCAACTTCCTATCCCAAATCCTCATCGTCCCTTAGAAAATCGAGAGAGCACATTCAATCATCAGCATCTATCACCATCAGATCAACATATTGTGGACGACACAAAAATAACTGGCAAGACCTTAGGTCAGGATTGAATAAAAAAAATTAGAGTGATGTTTCGTACTAACGAATTAACATAATTTATCCGGCAATTTTATTAGAAATATATCTATCGAAGGATCATTTATCACATGAGGCTCAACACATTTAACAAGATTAACTGAAAAGACGCATCAATAAAGTAGCTATATAGTTATATGTAGTACTGCCGGAGGCTTTAGCTTACTTCATTGATTTTGCATTGATAATTTAGTATTAAGCATTGAGAATAGCTTATAATATAGAGGTGCTGGCACTTAGACAGATGGCATGACTACTCATTCATTTTGTTTTTACTTAACTCAAACTACACCTCACGGCTTAACGCTCATTACATTTGCTTCTTACAGTTCCTGGCACTAATACCACGTCCAACGGTGTAGTTTTGAGGCGACAAAAAAATACACAAATAAGTAAGTATCATACATCCTTATGATAAGAACTTAGACATAATGATTTCCTTGGAGCGCTTAATGTTCTAGAAACATTTTACACTATAATAGTAATAATCATAACATGAATTTTCTAGCTGATGAGGAACGGGCAACTAGACGAGTATCTTATCTAAAAGCCACTTGGGGTGAACGGATGCACGTGGACAGTGATTTAGAATTGAGTGATTCTGAGCCAGTGGTTCAAGCTCTTCGAAGGTAATAACGATATTCTATTTATTTTATCTATTTACCCAAGTTTCAGAATCTCAGATGTAAATAGTAGTTCTTGATAGGAAATTCTCTAAATGAGCAGCTAGATAACTATCCCAAGCATTCATTATTATTAATATCAATCTAAAAAAAATCCAAATATTCTAGATTTTACTTTCAACATCAATCACAGTCATCAATACTTTTCTCAAGAATTTTTGATTTATCAATGAGAATTGAAGAGTTAACACTTTTTCACTTGCTCTAGATCTGGACCTAGTATAGATCCAGGACTATGTTACTAGTACAGATGATTGAATACAATAAAAAAATTTGAATACTTGTATAATTGCAAGTGATTTTAAACTAAAATATTTAAAAAAAATAAAATCAATGATAAGAGGAATTTATTTATAAACTTTCCCCAGTTGAATTTCATAATGAAAATTGTAACAGCACATTCGCACGAAGCGAATTGTCGTATTACACTGTAAAACTCATTTCCTCGATTCATTTGAGAGAACAAGAAAAATTCGTCCCCTTGCGTGCATCACGCAACTTTCAGGTATTGGCAATGTGCATGATTCCAGCGCTCACAGGCGATGGCGACCGCCACTGTTTCCTAGCGACATTACGCCACTTCGGCGTATCTTCGAGGATGTTACTCAAGCTGCGTCTCTGCATCTCCACTATCATCGGTGAGACCAAGAGATTTGTCATCTGTGGCAAGAAAAAAAAAATCTAGGAACGTTGCATCTCCGTTTCTTTGTTGTTTGTTTAACAGTCCATTCACATCCAGTAATAAAGTATAAACTGGAGAGATTAATATCACTGGTCAACAGCAAAAAAATTTTTGTCATGATCTGAAAATTATTATCATCAGAAGAATATTTTATAATAAAGAACCTCATGGCGATGACTAATGTTTTATAATGAATTGAATATTAATGCTATTTATTAGGATGAAATAAGAGAAGTATCTAGGAGAACCTGAGGCAAGATAGACTATTTATAAGAATAAAATGTGTTCAACATGATTGAAATGTTTTTGATATTAATGAAAAAAAATTGTTTCATTAATGAGACAGCTTTCAACAAGCTTCTATTTTTATACGTGATCAATTTAAGTGTGTCTATCATTTATTAAAACATCAACAACCTCAGCAATGTCTATCATCATTGCTTTATCTGAATTATTTGTCGTTGTTATATAATTTATCTTACTCTTTCATCAGTTTATCTTGCAATTATTAAATGAGACATATCATTCAGATATAATAAAAAAAGCTTTTTGTACAAATTAATTTCTGCTAAAGTATAATTATTTAAAAATCATTTACTCTTTAATAGAAAAAAAAGTCTGTTTAGCACATCTTGCCTTTGATTCTTCTTTATTTTTTGAGCTCATGATTTCTTCAAAAAAAAAGTAGTCATGATGAATAGATTGAATGGATATAATAGTGCTTGTATTGGAACTGATATAAATCAAATCATGGCAAAAATATAGTTGATCAGTACATGTTATTGTTTGCCATTGTTACGTTTGTTTATTTTTGTTTGTAATTTTTTTTTAAAAAAAAAAGAATGTCTATAACTAACGTGAAGAAAACCACATTGAGAGCGAAAGTGTATATTTCAACTTTTGCAATTGGTTTTCAACTCTTTCTGGCGTAACCTTCTTGTCGTTGACCAATTATATCTGTGCTGTCAGTGCATAGTCTTGTTCCGTGTCGGTTTCGTTCCGTTTCGGTTGGTCCTAAGAGAGTATAACTTTCCCTTCGTTGCTAACAAGCTCTCAGTCGATTAACTTTATGTTTTTATCGATCTCATAATAATAAAGAAAAAAATAATTTAAAAAATAATTACAAACCATTAAATACTTACATAATAATTGTCATTATCGGGTTGATTAAATGCATACTTTTCTATTAATAACCTTGTCCATTTATCATGGTAATGATAATAACCTGGCGTACTGACCTCCAATGATGAATATGGAACATGTGAACATATAATTCAGAAAAAGTGTATAATTTACTGCTCATAACTGGCTATTTCAAAACCAGAATTCTATTTTTCTTCAAAAATCATTCGCAATGTAATAAAATATCAAATACTTTTGAAACTTTTTGCTTTCTGGATTTTTTTAGGAGAAATCTAATTACTTTGATAATAAATTTAAGTTAAGAAGAGAACTTTACTGAATTCTCTTACTCTCCATGTCCACAGGAAGGAAAGTAATCTCTAATAAATTCTGTTGAAAGAAATTTGAACTGAAGAAATTGGGTTTTAAATTGCTTCTTTAATCACAGCTATATGACTCCTTATGTCTGTTATTTCAGACAATAATCGATTAAAACTTTCAGAAAATTCACTAACATCATCTATTAAAAATAAAATTTCTTCTCAATATCAATTAATTTGTAAATAATGAGTATCTACAAAATGACATAACTCTAGACATGATTTACCATCATAACAAAATTTTTAGAAAATTTTTTTTCACGTTAAGTAACAGATTCTTAAATAGAAATAACGAAACAATAAATATAAGTAAATGTATATAAGCTTATGTGCTGTTTGTACTTAATGTGCAGCTAGAAATTGTTAAATTCCATCACGTTAGTTGCTCATATACTAACATAAATTGTCACAAGTAAGGCTTGTGGAAAAAAAAAATGATGTGCCTTGCCAATAATATTTACTTGAAATTACTAAACGCTAACGGTATAAATACATAATTACGATTGATTTATGATAGAATAATTATAAATGAATAAATCTATAATTAGTAATTAGACAAGACTTGTTGCAACTAATGAAAAAAATTAATTCTAAAGAAAGGAGAAAATGAGATGAAATTTAAATATAAAGAAAAATAACAAATGAATTTATGCTAATGATTTCTGTATGTTTTTTTGCAGCAACAGCATTGCAAATACACATGGTGGTACCACATGTGGCGCCGGGACGCCGAAGGACGTCGAACCGGTCGAGCGAGAAGGATCCCTTCACGTCAAGTTTACGGTGCTCGATGGCAAGGTGAGAAAACACCATTTCCATAGGTTTCCCGTTGAGAAATTTTTTTTTTTTCGTCATCATCACTCTGTAAACTCGACATAATTATCAATTACTAAATAATTTATATACATCCTTTAAGAGTTCTTGGCAATTAAAATTATATTTGAGATATCTTATCAATATTCCATTATAATTTGAAATTATTATTTGATTGCAAATTAAGGATATGATTCTTTATTTAAGCAAACCATTAGTCATTATTAAATTCCAATTATTGTCTCCTCATAAGGTGTATTTAATTAATTTTTCATGGTTAATACTGGGTAGGGAAAGTGAAAGATAAATAGGAAATTGAAATTTCTATCTAGATTGTTGGATAATAAATTGAATGATTTTTTGTAAATAATAATAGAGAAGTGATAGAGACGAATAAAATCTAACATGTAATAAGCTTTATTTCTGGTAAAAAAAGAGACTTAGAATAGTGTAAACAAATTGTAGCTTCGAGTAGACGTAGAAAATGTACATCCATAGATAACATCAAGCCAGCATGTCTCATCTTGTTATATATTCCAAGTAACACAATTTTCAGATAGTACTGGTAATAAAGTCTAGAAATAGTGGATTATTTTGACAAGCTTTTCTAGGTAATTTATCGCTTTTGCTTACAACACTTCCTTTAGATAATTCTCATCTTTATTTTTCATATAAAATGATAAATACAATGCCTATTATTCATTCAACTCATTAGAAGAAAACTTTCATCAGCTTAAAAATTATATAAAAAAAAAAATATTTGCATTCAGTCATTAATTTTATTTTTTTTTTCAATTTAATTATAATTTCAGTTGGCAATTTATCTTTCATTATTCTTTGAAGAAACTGTTGATAAAAAATAAAGAACAAAAGCAATTTCAAGAAAGGCTTTTAAGCATGTACTGACATGTCTTCAAAGGGCTTAAGCATAAATTTAGCACTTAATGTAAAATAGTAGTGCCAATAATCGATAGTGAGCCTATAGCTGATACTTGGTGTAATACTATTATTGTATATAATACAACTGAATCTCATTATAAGCATCGTATCTTGTCTTGGTCAATTCTTTGTTGAGAATAGACGTGCGTTTGAAGTGTAAGAAGACAATGGCATGCCTATAATGAGACTCCACTTTAGTGGTACATGTAAGTATCAGTTATTGGTTCAGTATCGATTATTGGTATCGCTACCACAGACCAGTAACACTAAAGAAAAGAACATCTCTGGTATTTCAATTACATGAGCAAAGATAATGTGAGTTTTCATTAGAGTTCATTGATAGAATAAGCTTTATAAAATAGTTTTATTATCAGCAATAAGATTTCTCTGCTAGTTATGGTAAAAATAGTTTAAAATTATTTCATGCTTCTATTGAAAAGATAATTCATAAAAATTAATTAATCCTTCTAATTAAATTGAAATATTTATTTGTAAATAATTATTTATTACTTTCTTTTCACTTCTGAATGTTACATTTCAGAGATCAACTGATCGTTCCTGGAAGCAGGTATGGGGAGTTCTTCGTGGTCCTATTTTGTACTTCTATAAGGACCGTCATAGTCAGGTGAGTCTGAGCAACACTAGATTTTGCTTTCAAGTAAATTGAATGAGTTAACACGATAAAGTACATACATTGCAAAGAATAAAAGTACGCATACCGTTTTACGCTTTCTAAAAGCAAGATTAAATGAAATAAAATTCATTGATTTATTCCTTCCAATACGATCAGTTAGACGTGGACGAGTACAAATAAGAAATGTCGTTGCTCTTATTTAGTATAATAGCAGAGGTAGGTAGTATCTGTTAACTATCGAAACTATGTATACAGTTTGTCAATGTGATTGATTAGTCCAGGGTCACGTACATGAAGTATTCAGTCTGCGTATGGGCCAGGCACGAGACTCGATACCTTATTGAACCATTCACTTGATAATTAATTCTGAGGGACGTGGCACACGCCCGTATCGAGTCGTCCTCGATCACTGGCTATGAATTTACTGCGATTTCCGATCTGCAAGTCGTGGAGGCATCTTATCTAGTTTATAGCCGCGCGTGCTGTAGATCTTCCACGCGAGCTATCGTTTAGCTCGTCGTCATCCTTCAGTTATTGCGTTGGCGTAAACTGCACTATTTTCCTAGAAAAAAAGCTAATCAAATATACACATTCTATTAGCTTTGAGAAGTTTTTTAAATATTTTTTCTAGAATTTATTGAATCGATGATAAGACTGTTTTACAATTGGAAAAATCTTATTAGAAAATGATGAATCTCCAGTTTTACTTAAATATCAGTTGCTTGAAGTGATAAATTGGTTGAAGAAAACTGTTGATAATAATTAAGAAAAACAACCTTCTATGTTATATGAAGCAGTTATTCTATTTTGTATAAAAGAAAAAAATGACATTCTTTGTTACCTTTTGGTCAACCCTGTATTTCTTTACAGTCATCACAAGCTTTGACGTTTGTTGGATCTTACATACAAATTTCATCACATTCTCTAAGGCCTATGAATATTAATAATTGAATGGAAAGTATACAAGGTGTTTACTTGTTGAATTCTTTAAATAATTTTTCATATTTTGCATTGAGAACTTCTTCAAGGCAAACTATTTGAAAAAAAATATTAATTTTACACTTCATATTGATAAAAAATATTCCTTTAAATAATACATTCTTGTTCTCATCAGTGAATAATGTTCTCTTCTCAACTTATTTTCAATTTATTCTGGCATTTTCTTACTGAAAAATCTTCACTCAGTGAAATTTCTTGTTAGATAATCTAACTGTCGGTTTATTATTCCTAAGTAGTTGATGAACTTTAATTTGCTTCACGGAAAGCAGTTTATTGTTTGATTTCTTTCTATTGTATGTTCTTATCAAATAAGTTTGAATATATAAAAGTGAAGGTAACTCATTAAACTCCATATAAAGGAATAAATTAAATCTGTCAAATTTAAAATTCATTTTTATAAAATATTATATCCTCCAACTATATTATTTATTCTATTTACCTTAAGATTGCATAAAAAAATATTATTTTCCTCAACAAAAGTTTCTCAATATCAAGACTTTCAATTCTACATCAAAGCATATCAACTTACTGGAGATATTGTATTTTGAAAAAATAAAATTTATTCCAATATTTCAACGTTTTTATCGAAATGTCATGAAATTAGATTGATATTCAGTGGAATAGAGTATTTGAATAGTTTAAATCACATGTTAAAGTATGTCTGGTCGTTCACACCAACGTGCGTTCACGCTTGTATCTCACTAATTCAATGTGAAGTCCTTACAGGGCATACTACATACTTTCCCCAGGCGTACTTAGAGTAGAGCTTGAAGCTATCATCTAACTGATCTTAAGAGAATGCGTAGAGTACTGGAGCACACATACAAATGAGAAATAGAGAGACTAATGTTAAATGAGATGATATCGTACCAACGTCTTGCTGCATATCACCGGACACGGAAACAGTGGTTGCATTATCACCATTCAGCCACAACCTAGACCCATAAAAATATTATTTCATTTATACTTTTTTTTTATTAAAAATATTCAATAATATTCCTAGAATAACCTATTTTCTTATCAAACGTTTTACATAAAAGTATTAATTAATTTATACGAGATTTATTGGCTCCTTTTTTGCAAAATCAATAAAATGGTAAGATATTAAATCATGAATCATTTGATTAATTAGTCAAATTATTTATTGAATAACTCTATTTACTATGATTTAATGAAAAGATTCTATCTATTTTTAAAGAAAGCTGCCTACAAGTACATATGAGTATAGAAGTTATTGATAAAATCTCATCATAAAATTATCAGGATTTTTTGTCAATTGTCATGTAGCTTTGGTCATAATATTTCTCGAAATTTTCAAGATTTATTTATAATACCATAAACAAGCTTGTTAGATCAATAAATATCATTTAATAATAAATTTGAGCTTAGCTATGTACGAGTAGGTGAAAGGTTTAATAGTTTTTTTTGCGACTGAGTGGGGGATACATTGCTTACTCCACTAAAGTTTGCTCATCGCCAGTGAGTTCTCATCGCAAACGCAAGTGCTATGGTCTGGCTATACAGACAAGCTTTTACAAGTGATTCAACTTTACTTAGTGCTACTTAAATAAACAAACATTTTATTTTTATAAAAAATACCAATAATTACCATAAGTTAACGTGATAAATTACAATAAATAACTCATAATTACCTAAGAGAATTAAAATAATGAAAAACAATGCTAGGATCAAATGATAGTAATTCATATTCGTGTATTCCTCTACACTTCAGTACTCATGGGCTTTTTGGTCGACGATTACGACGATGGGGTTCCACTGGATCCTGGGTAAAGATTAACGGGTTCCAGAGAATCATCGAGTTCGTGTGTTAAACGCAAAATTATTAGTTTGTTACAGAAAGTCTTTGCAATAATTAGTTTTTATTAGATAAGAAATTCGATAAGAGTGTAAAAATGTAGCAGATAAAAATGTTTTCCTTCTAATCACTGTGATCTTGGCTTGCAAAGACTTTAGTAAACAACCTAATATACGTGTGTAACAATTGAATTTTAATTTGTGATGTTTATTTATTACAGAGCCCTTCAACAACAAGTGACAATGATGTTGGACAACATGTGGATGTGAGATGTTCTCTAGTTGATGTTGCTGATGACTATACAAAAAGAAAACATGTCTTTCGTGTGGCTAATTCAACTGCGGAAGTTCTTCTGCAAACTGAAGATACTGCGTCAATGGCACTCTGGTTAAGAGCTCTTCATAAACATGCTGCAGCTGAGAAATCAACAGTAATTATATTCATTTGATTTTTACGTTTAATTAACTAGACATTTTATTGTGGCTAGTTTCTAGAATCAATTCTAAATTATAAGTTTTAAATTTATTGCCACTTTAAAAGACTAACGAATTGGAATTTATATTTTATTATTCTTCAAGTCCATTTACATTTCACGAGAGAACTTATAGCATTGCCTCCTATCCAGATACATACTTCTTAGTCTCGACCGTTATCATGACTTAATTGGCACGTTGTTGTCGCGCAGCTCAACTAGGCGGCTATGCTAATAGACTGTTTAATGTTGACGGTACATGGATGCTATGAAGATTCAAAACACGTTTTGCCCATTCATTCGTAATTGCTTCAACTCAGTGATTATTTTTATTGAAATATTAAATTCATATTTTTGAAAGACTGCTATTCAATTAAAATCAAGTAGATAAAATTCATATCGATGATGCATTCATTTATTTTATAATATCATTTTTTATTATGCATTACGATTATTATTTACACCAAGTTATACAAAGAAATCATTCACTTTCTTTTTTTTTATTTGAAGAGAAATTTAATGTACATCAAATTTCTAAATTAATTTTCAGACACTCTTTCTTCATATCATTAACACTCTAAAAATCAGTCAAAATTTTTCAATCAAAATTATTACTAATAAATTAAAACTTTTCAGGATATCAATTCGAGTACATTGAAGCAACAAGCAGTACCACAAACACCTGGACCAACGACACCAAGTTCTGCTAATCAAGCTGGTGGACAAAGATTAAGTCCACTCCCGAGTCACAAAGGAATTAGGAAATTAACATCATTTAGGAATCGTTCGCCAACTGGTCAATCACCTGCGACAAAAACTCGTAAGCCAAGCCAGACTGTCGAACCATTACAATCACCAAAATCTAAGACATGGAAGGGTCGAGTAGCGAAACAGCTAAGACGTATGCACGGTCAAGTTGGCTCGCCATCATCGCCAACAGCACAATTACCACCCGAGGGTGCAACTTTCAAAGTTCCTTTGGAACTGTGCCCACCAGTAAGTACATTTTACTATTTAAGATACCAATTATTTTGTGAATTTAATAATAAAACTCAATTGCTTTCCACAGTCTTCGTTCTCCGAGTTTGTGCCTCTGATCGTTGAAATGTGTACGAGCATCGTTGAAGCAAGGGGTCTCGAGGTTATTGGAATTTATCGAGTGCCTGGAAACACTGCGGCTATTTCTCAACTCACTGACAGTGTCAACAAAGGCTTTGAGAACATTAATTTGCAGGTAATAATCGTTAGCACGTCAATTAATAATATAATTTTAGCCTCAGGTCGTTAATTGGAATAAACACGATGAATTCTTTGACAAAATTCAACTATTCTACCAGAATAAATGAAAAAAAAGAAATTGTAGATAATTAATGATTAATTACAGTTTGATTTTTGAGTTTAAATTAGTGAAAGTCGTACAACTTGTTAATTTATAATCTACACATACTTAATAGATATCATTACATTTTTTAAAATCTTTTTTTTTAAACAATTGTGTAAGATGTAATATTATTTCATAATTTTTATTGCTAATATTTTTAATTAGATTGAAATCAACTCTTAAAGGGAAAGAGGTGTAACATCATTTTCTTTCATGATAAATTATTGTGTTAAATAATTATACCTCATTAAAACTTATGTAAAATTAAAAGTACGTAATCAAAAAGTAGACTCTTATTTTCACGTAGAAAATTTCTGTCACCAGTCAACTTAGTTCTCATTAAAAACTTCTTTCATTACATTAATTTAACTTTTTCTCTCTCAGTAAAATGAAAATAATTAATTAAAATGATTTCAGGATCCACGGTGGAGTGATGTCAATGTAATATCTTCGCTCTTGAAGTCTTTCTTTCGACAACTTCCTGATTCTCTATTGACAGCGGATTTATATCCAATGTTTATTGACGCGGATAAAATTGAAGATCCTCAAAGACGGATGTCAACCATTAGAAAACTCTTGAGAGACTTGCCAGAACATCATTTTGAGACTCTCAAGTATTTGATGTTCCATTTGAAGAAAGTTGTGGAGCATAGTGAAGTGAATAAAATGGAGGCAAAAAATTTGGCTATCGTGTTTGGTCCAACTTTAGTTAGAGCTAGTGGTTCAAGGGACAACATGGTTACGATGGTTACAGATATGTCTCATCAGTGTAGAATTGTCGAAAGCTTATTGAACAATGTAAGAGACATAAACATTTTATCTTTTAATTCAATATCTTTTTTAGAAAATAAATAACTAAATTCTTCAATGTGTGTTGTAGGTCGATTGGTTCTTCTGTGAAGAAGACTTAGACGACTTGAGTAGATTAAGTGTCAATCTTAGCCTTCCTGCCGATGGTAGTGAAGTAGAAACATCCAATACCAATCACAACCTTCTTCTAAATAACATTCAAAAAGTTGAAGGTATTTTCAGTTTAAAATTCTTATATTACTCTAGTCTAGATGTTTCAAATATTTAACTAGAAAATTATTTATTGAGTATTTTATAGTTAAATAGTCTAGATAGTTGATTAGTTACGTTATTCAATTTTCCCTTTCAGCACAATTGCTTTTTATTTCACTCTTTTCATTAATTAATTTAAGTTAATAGAGCATATTCAACGACATATATTTATTTTCAAGTTTTTTTTCTTTTTTATTTATTTTGCTTGCTTTCTTTTTGTTTTATTACCTTAATAGGCATGCGTGAAATGGTCTCAGCTAAGGACATTGTATCTTCAATCATATCCGCAGCTAACCGAAAAATACAGAGGCGAAGGAAAGGACCAGAAGAGCAAGAAAGTGAAGATCATGAAGATGAAAAGGTAAAATTATATATTTAATTATCATATTAATTTATTATTTCCAGTTCAACTTAATAATTAATCGTTATTAAATCTAGGCTAAAACAAAGCAGGAGGAACCTCTTGGAGTTATTCGACAAAGCATGGCATTGAATGAACGTCAATGTTCAGTCAGTGAAATAGTATCGATGCATGAAAACAAAAGCCAAACAAATACCCCGCATGAAAAGTTGGATCGCAGTTCTGGAGTTAACAGTGCGAATGCAAGTCCTCTTAATAGCTCAAATATATCAAATCGATCGAAATATTCCAGCAGTTCCCAAAGCCAATTACAATCGCAGCCACTGTGTACGTCATTGAGCTCAGATTCTCCAAGAATGTCGACTGAGGTTGGAACAGGAAGTTTGGATACTGTTTCAAATATATCAACTATTTCAAATACATCCAACGATACAAAGCAGAGCAACGATGAAGTAGCTATACGGACTTATGCAGGACTGAGTGCAACAACTCGAGAGAGAATACGAAGGTTTGAGCAAGAAACTAAAGCAATGCTACAACGTGATCAACATCGACAACGACGTGAAGCGGAAAAACATGAAGAGGAACGAAGAAGAATTGAAATGGAATGGCAACTGGCGAAGCGAGAGATGGAGAATGATGATATTCTCGACGAACTAGAGACGACAGTTGGATCGCCTTATCTTGCAGATGAACTGTCCAACTTGAATGAAAGATTTGCAGAGAGATCGGTTATAGATAATAATGGTGACAGGCATCGGTCAAAATCTACTACAAGATTGACACCATTATCTATAGCAGTACAACAACAGCCTACTGCTAGACAAAAAGCTCAAGCCACCAACCAATTGAGTAGTATTATTGGAGAAAAAATAAACAATGGAGTTGTTAAGAAATTCAAAACGGACAAAGAAGTAAGTTTTTTTTATACCCTTCATCTTTGGATTACATAGCACAGTACATTGAAGAAGTGAATAGAAAATAAATTTTGAGTTTTAATCTTGATCTAGGTTTTGAAATAAGTATAAACATCCTTTTCACTAGATAGAAAAAAAAACTATAGCTTTTTGTTGCAATGTTGAGAATGAACAGTTCAAGTTTTATGTAAAATTAATTTTATTTTTAATTGAATTCTTTTTTTTTTTTTATTTAAGGAGGTCTTCTTGTATGATACATATTTTTTATAAAATAGAAAAATTGATTTATTAATACAACTGTTGATTGTTGTTTATTTATTTAACAGAAGTTTATTGCATTCAACTATATGTGTATTATATTATTTGGAACTCTGCAGCTGGCCATGGCTATCAGGTTCTCATGTTTTAATTTCAATAAATTTTCATGTTGTCTTTTCACTCATGCATATAAATAGAAAAAAATCAATTAAAATATTTTGTAAATATCGTCGATAATAGTATTAGCAAATTATTTATAGTTTTGTATTTATCCTTTCAAAGAATAAATTTCAAATTCTGATCTTTATACAACACTTTTTATTCATAGAAGAACCTCCTTAAGTAAGATTCTTTTTGCACTTGTTAGTTATTAGTTGCACTGATAAATAGTTTTTTTTATCATTTATTATATTCTGTAGTTCGAGAATATAAATGAATGTATCATCCTTTTATTTATAGAATCCTTGAGCAAGATTTTATAATAGTTAACTTTTTTTCAGTCAATAGATCTAGAGTTCTTATGATTTATTATAACATTTAAATACTTTTATCCAATATTATTTAAAATTGAATCATTGTCATCATGAATTAATTTTTATCAATATTTTTCAGTCGTCTTTGGAGTCATTAACAAAAGCTCGATATGGCAGTTTAGATTCTCTGCACGAAGTTCACACTTCTCCATCACCATCGCATCAAACTCGTGGGATACCCGGCGACATCTCAGATGATGGTCAGTATTTAAATACTTTTATCCAACAAAAAAAAAATTCTGTCGTTTCGCTTTTGTACAATACCTAAATTTAAATCTACGTTCAAAAGCAACTTATATAAAATTGACTTTAATCTTCGTAGCCATTAATAATTGAACATGTAAAACTTAATTGATATGAGATGAGTTCGAGCTTATAGCATGAACTCATTTATTCCAATTAAACGTTTTTTTTTTAGTCTGAAGCAGCATTCTTTATACATAATTGTGATTTCGTGTCTTTATTTAGTTTGACTTTTCTAACAAAAAACAACGAATAACTCGACGCCTGTTCTATGTATAAGTAAATTTATTCTCTCTGTATATTTTTTCTTAAAATTCGCTTCTGACGATCGGTGAGTGTAGCCGGATCTTGTTTCCTTCACTGGACGCAGAAGATACTTACTATAAACCGAAAGCTTGCTAGGTACTTTAATATTTAATCTCTACATCTCGAGCCATTAGCAAACATTTAAATTTTATTTAATACTTAATTTAATACAGAAATTATTCATAGTTTTCCATTAAATAATCATCATAAATTCATTATTTCCATGGAATGCATTCATCTAGTTTATTGTTTTTCAATAATAAACTTAAATGCATTCATCGCATGGTTAGTTAGAATTTTATTTAGCGTCCATAAGTCATAATGCTTCCGTAAATTATGAGAATAGACGCTCGTCAGTATCTAAAACAATTTAATAAAAGCAATACAAGTAATAAATGAAATTAGTCAGGTTCTTTGGAGCGTCTCTTCCCTGATTCATATCTCCAGATTTACCATTAGCACGTTAGCTGCTATTACAATAACGAAAGTCATAATAATTTATTTATTTGTTCATTTTTACGATATATCAGGCTTACACAAATCACCAGCGAGAAAATAATTATAATTATAGGTTTTACAATTCAACATTCTCCATTGCCTACAACACATATTTCATTTTTTCACTTTATTATCATTCTATTGTATTTTGTTCAAAATGCGAATGAAGAACGCATATAGACATGCTTTAATGTGGCACAAAGTACCAAAGATTAGAGAGATAAATTCCTTAATCCAATTATCATAATCCAAACAAAAAAAAGTAAAAAATATATACAATTTTTTTTTTTTCTCAATCCCGATAATTCTACCCAACTAAGCGCTTGTTTGTCATGTCTGGCTAAATCTGTCTGGCTGGTTTGCCTGCGTAATTTGTCTGTTACGCTCTAATGACGCGAGTTCTATTCATCTTGCTTGCGCTTCGCTAGTTCTAGCTTTGCGTGCGGTCGGTCTGAAGACAAATGAAACATTTTCAAGATGATATAAATGAAAGAAAATATATCCAGTAACCGTCCACTCGCAAAGGAGAGATCATTTTATTAGCTATTGGCTATTTCTTTCTTGCATTCTTTTTCTCTCATCTATCACGAAAAGTTGATTACAAGCAAATACAAGCGATTGTTCGATTGACGATGAGATACGTTAACCGCGTAGGCACACAGCAACTCCGGGTTTTTGGTGCTACATATCGTCCCATCTACACGGTCCTGCAGGCGCCAGTTGCGCCTCCACGAAGACACCGGCCCCACAACTACCACCCGAACCCCGTACCGCCACCGACCCCACCACCTGCTCTGCAGCATCATCCTCATCATCACCACCGTCACAATTCTCCGAGCCAGGGGTGTCAGGGTCAGGGGTCGGGGCCGGGCCACCCTCCAAGACTTTGAACAGATTCCTCAGAGGTAAATCGGACCGCTGAAATCATATGTTCGGTGTCCGATATGAGCTGGCTAGCTCAAATAGAATGGCTTCCTAAGTTTTTCGTTTTTTATCAGTTTGTTATACCATTTTTTTATACTCAAATTCTGCCCATAATCCCAGCTTTTCTATATCGTTGCTTTCGTTTTTATTTTACCAAACGCAGCTTTTTTCCATTAATATTATTGATGTTTTTATCATTTTATAGGATAAGTATTGACAAAAACATTTATCTACAAAACTATCTTTTGATATCATTACTGTTTTCAATGTTTGACTATTCATTACTAATAAACAATCATTCAATGAATAAAATTGTCTAAATAATGATCATTAAAATATGATTTATTAATATTTTTTTTGTCAGTATTCATTCTAAATGAAATAAATAATTTTAGAAAGTTAAATCAATAAAATATTTAGCATAAATTAAACTAGATTTAATGATTGAATTAAAATCTGGAACATATTGATCAATTATAAAAATGTCTTGCTCTTTTTTATCGCTTGTTATATTTTAATCGCAAAATTTTTCATTATTATTTCCATGCTGATTACTAAGTGTGATACAGCAATTCAACTCACTGTCTTCTTGGCTGTCATGCTGCACGATGCAACAAATAAAACATCTTTATTTTTTGAAATATTACATAATAGCTGTGTAACAGTCTATTTAGGCGATGCTATAACAGACACCAATCACACAATATTGAATATCGTCCGATTTACATTTTATTGCCGGCAGTTCGTTACTCTTTGTCGTTTTTAATAAATTTTATCGCCTGCTTATAAGGAACCTGAAAAGCTAGAAATGATTTATAAATCAACATTTTCATGGTTTTTATGACTTTAAAAGCCATTGGCCGATATGCTGCTCATATATGTTATTTAATAATGTGTCGTTCTGGCGTTCGTTGTTGCCATTATCATTTTTATTTTATTATTTTCGGAATGCTTTCTGAAAAAATTAGCTACTATAATAGCCTATTTTATCACTTCCGTTTGTTCGTCGTCACATATTTTCAAAGATATTTACTTTTTTGATCTTTCAATTTGATTTTTTTTTATAGAATTACATCAATATAAATTGTTGCACTCAGTGGAGAATAATCAATAAATGAAACAAATAACGATAAAATATTTTTTCCAATAACAAAAATGCTTTGAGTGTATTTTGTGGAGTCCTATTGATGTTTGCAGTCATTAAAGTATAAGTATTTGCTTTCAGGTAGCGATCTCTTGACCAGCCTTACGTCGACGTTTGATCGAAAGTGGAAGTCTCTTGTCAATCCATCGAATCTCAGTGTAACATCTACTGAAAGTACTAGTGGTACAGTTTCTCACGAAAAGCCAAGTAATTACGAAGACAGCGATCGTAATCAATCTACTCGTTCACTGAAAGTCTATCGTGATCCTAGTCTCCATAAATCTCTCATCGACAAACATTCAGCTCGTATCAAGAATGTAAGTAAAATCAATTGGAAACAAGAATTTAAATCCATTAACTTTTTTCTAACATTTCTGATAAATAATCTTTCAGGATGCGTTGGAGAAGGATAAAAATTCAACAGTTGAAAGTTTGGAGAAGAAATCTAAAGAAGATTCAATTACACCTGATAATGATCGTAATATTATTCTACGAAATACTGTTGAATTGAATACAGCAGCTACGGATTCATCAGATGGCGGTTCTTTACTCGATGCAACTGAAAAAGATGAAGATCCAAAAGAAGGAACACCAAAATCCAAACATTTAGAAATCAATAAGACTCAAGATAAAGTAGAATTACCATCAATTTCAAATGAGGATACCAAATCTAATTTAACTGATGCCAAGGAGGAAAAAGCATTATTAGATTCATCGTACTCAAACAAATTAGAAAAGTTTGAAAGTTTGAGCCAAGCCAATGAGTCACGATCGAGATTGAAACGATCTGAATCTCTGAACAAACGAACAGAAATTGCTTCATCTAAACTAAAAAGGTCTGAAAGTTTGAATAAACATTCTGATAGACTTGCATCACCAACTAATGGTAAATTAAAACGTTCAGAGAGTTTGAATAAACATGCAGAAAGATCAGAATCACCAAATATGAAGCTCAAACGATCAGAATCGCTGACAAAGACCGAAAAAACGGAATGCAATATTAGCAAAAGACGACAATCAGTTAGAAAAGAGAGTGCTACAAAGCTCAAAAGAAAAAATGGGATGCCAGAACGATCGATCAAACGACGACATACTGTAGGAGGTACAAAAGATTTTGATAAAGTTCACTGGCTTGACAATAAATTACAGTCTGAAAATGAACGAGTTATTAAAAACGATTCAAAGCCGAAAAAAAGTCAACTGAGAACAAGTTCACCTGATTTAAGTAGTAATCGGGTAAATGTTGCAGACACTAGTTTTCTCATTGAAGTAAGCTTCCGTGGACCAAGTAATGTTGTTTTTAATGTCACCAATGCTCGACCACAGTCGTTGCCCGATGCTAATTTAGCATCTAAAGTTTTTAAAGTACCTCTCGAGAGTCACGTATAATATAAATATTTAACTTGAATTAAATTATTGGACTAAATGAAAAGAAAAGTATGAAATTTTAATAAGTATTCTTCATGAATTCTAAATCTGCCAATTATCTTTAAGAATATCATCACTCAAACGAACATTAACCATATCCAATAACGAAAACAATGAAGCATTTAAAAATTATAATTGCTATACAATCATTTTAATGCTATTTATTTTACATAAAAATTGATGTAAAAATCACATCTTAAATACTCAAAAACAGTTTATCTTGTAAAAATAAGATTGACAATGTATTAAGTGATGTAATTGCTAAGTATTAGATGTGATTTCAGCTGATGTATTTTAGTAAACTCGAACGATAAGCTAGCGAAGCTTTAAAATAAGAAAAGTAATGATAAAACAAATCGTACCGAACATGGTATTTACATCGTGTCAATTATTTACACATCATAAATGTAAATTGTGATCGTGCAATTTTTTCTGTATATACATTTTTAATAGTTTCGTGATAGTAATTAGCACTTTTGCGTAACATAAATTTTCAAATTAATATTTTAATAATAATTTTACATGTTCTTGCAAAGTACTAAAATACGCAAAGTAGTTAATTAGTCATACTTAAAGTTGAATTATCTTGTTATTTGAATGGCGGTAAGATCTTGTGTTAATTACTGCAATAAAATGCATCAAATTCACCAGAAGTTAAAAGCAATTGTACATATTTATATAAGCTTATGTATGTATATTATATATTATATATTAAATAATAAACAAACAAAAATTATTAAAAAAAAAAAAAAGACAAGAAGAAGGGAAATAATTGTACGACAAAGGTGCGATAGATCATTTTTTTTATATTTTCACTTACGAAAATATTTGTGATGTGATAAATTTAACACGTACTCGTTTTAATCTATAGATTATTCAATCATGTAATCATTGAAATGAAAATTTATTGTCCATATAAGGCTGCTGTTTGCGTTAATTTAAATTTAAGCAAGCGATTGTACTGAAATCGACGAGGATGCGATGTCGTTGAAAATTAAAGATAATTTCATTAATTATAATATATTGACACATAATTAATAATCAGCAGCGATTACACTAAGCAAGAAATGTGATCGTAATTTTATAATCAATATCCATTATTAATTATTAATTAATTTTAGCATATTTGTATAAGGTACGACTATGGTAGTAAAATGTATCATCGAAATTATTTCTTACAAGATCAATGTAAAAAAATATCTCATTCTTTATATGTTAAATATATTAATTAATTTGTGACAGAAATTATTTTTTGGTAATGAAAAATTGTTAAATTTATATAATTTTCGTCTTGCCAAAATTATGAGAATGAAAGTGATGACTAATATACAATTTTTAAAATATTAATTATGAATTATTGATAACTTTTTGGCGTTAAAAATTTTTTTTTGTTGAAAATTGTAAATAATACATTAAAAAATTTTTTAACCTGACAATGGAAATAAGATAGTTATTTCTGATTATTAGTATGATTGTGATTTTATTATTTATTAATTAATTAGTTACAGCTTAAAAATGTTAATGAAATTTATTCTGTAATGTTCGACAAGAAACATCAATTCTGTAAATAAATATATTACTTTTAAATGATTCCCTTATAAAATGTATTAGATAATTTATTTCTATTTTTAGATTAACATAAAATAAGTTTAAAAATATTTCTGATCTCGGAAGATAAGATTTGATAAGATGAAATAGAAATATAAAACATAGTCATTTTTTTCTTTGAAAATATAAAATTCATGATAATGGCAACCACCCTCATCATTTTACACTATATTTTTTAACGTTCCGGAAACTCAAAAAATTTCAATCATCATAATCAGTATTATAGAATAAAATAATAATAGAAAACAGTCTAGAAATGATTTTTACGTAAATGAGTTTTATTAATAAATTTTTTTTGTCTATTGTTATAGCAAAAAATTTTTTTATACGTAGCGGAAGTATTACAAATGATTGTATTACGAATCTTTTATGTTATATTTTTATAGAAATATTTAATTGTTTATATTGGGTATCTAATTTTTATCCGCGATCAGTGGGCTTCATAAAAGCTCTAACACGCAAATTCTTTTTAGTTGAACAGAAAATTCTAAAAATGAAATAATTAGTTCTGGTATAATTATCGAAACTTATTGTTAATATCAAAAAAAAATGTCTGTAACAATGATCCTAGATTTGCAGATAAAATTGTTGATCGATTGAAAAGAAAATTACAGGATGTAGTCTTTTTCGTATGTTATTTGACGATTGTATCAATACATAAAAGGTAGAGAAAAATAATGGGCAAGTGAGTTTCTTAAATTCATTGTACCACTATGGTTTCTCAAGTATTAGTCGTAGCTCTTGCTGCTTTTAGTATTATCATCAGTAGTGAAATTTTCTCTGGTAAAAATAGTTCTTTATTTTTATAAATTTTTCATTTTTTTTTTATATTCAAATCTCATATGAGAAGAAATATGAAAAAATATGAATTTCCCAACGTGAATTTTTAATCATTGCTGAAACAATGTTTTTGTTAACATTCGGTACTTTTTTTTATCTCTTCTAATCAATTTTCCTCATATTTTTTTATTATTTCTGAACAAAAGATGAGAAGGGAGAGCAATGAACCCATACTAAATTAATTTTTCATATTTGTTACATTTTTGCGTATTGTTTTATGTTTCAATATGAAAAAAATAACTTCATTTTTTCACCAGTGTACGCAGCTTTACATCTCACAATTCACGGAAAGGCTGATTATGAAAGATTTTTAGCAATACCACTACCAGCTAAATATCAAACACCTAGTAGAGATCAGATGAAAGTAAATGAGATTTGTAATTGTTAATCGATAATTTAATTTTTTAAATTAATAACTTGTAATTTTAAGATGATGATGTCCATTTACGATGATCAACAATTTAAAGAAGGTAGCTTAAGGTTCTGTGTCGGTGTAGCGAATGGAAATAGGCGTGTTCTTATTTTTCCGTGCGAGCCAGTAAGTATGATGAATTTCGTTGATATTTTCTTGAATAAACTATGTAGCTCACATAGTTAACACTGCAAATTCCGACTTTTCGAAGTTTTTTCCCAAAAATCTAAATTTACAGTGTGAACTGCTTGCATTATTGATAATGCAAATTTATGTATAAAATTGTATTAATTTTATGATGAATATTTCAGAGACGCGGTTTTGAGACTATACCTTATAGTGCAGAACGGGTTCAAATGTTTCTAGAATTATCTCCTACAAATATTTCAGGTCCGATTGTAATATGTTTTCTAGTATTCCAGAAATTCATCCTATATAGAGACAATGATGAATCAGCAATTTTTTTTATGGGTAGCTCGATAGATGACCAGGAAACTGATACTTGGGAGAACAGCACAGATGACCAGAAAACTGTCTATAAATATAATAGCTATGAAGAAGAGACGCAAAATACAGAATGTTCAATAATTTCAAAAGAAATGATATTACCAACATTTACGGAAATGATTGACGATAATGAGAGTGAGTCGCTATCTTCAGACATGATGCAAGATTCCGATAGTGATTCGGAGGTAAGATTGTCACCTGAGTTAAACATAGATTGTAAACATGTGATTTGAGATAGTCTAATTGTTCTATCTAAGGTTGAATGCTATTTTTTTGTTGTAAATTTACACATGGCCTATAAAAACTTACTTGGTTCCTTTAGAACGTAATATACTATTTCGTTTCATCTAAGCGGAAAGTTTAATGTATTTCAAATAAAATAGTGGACTTTCTGCGTGGGTATAGTGTAATAGTTTTTTCAATAAACTTTGTTTAATTTGTATAATTTTTTGTAGCCTCCAACATTCTCGATAAATAATGCCAGATCAAATGTTACAATTAGAATACCAAACAGCAACTTCTCAAAAATGGTCATGACAATGGATGATGCTTTCTCATTTATACAAAATTTATGTCCTGATGAAGCTGTCAAATTTATGAAAGATCATACTTACTCAAAATATAAATTAAATGGAGTAGGTTTTGACAATTCAAGTGAAATAAAAGTATTAACTCCGGAAGAAGAAAGACGAAATGTACTGTCCTATATTTTGAATGTTTAGACTATGAGCAGATGTACTTGGCCCATTGGCCTGAAAAGCATGCTAAGAAAAATCTACACTTGAATCAGTTTAAATATATTCGCACAATTTTTCCTGTATTTTTAAAGATAATCACTTATATTCTTAAAGAAAATATAATAATCTCAAAATAACACAATAATTTTTGTTTTTTAAACCATTTTCCCATCCGACAATTGAATACTCACTGCTTCACTACGTTTCAAAACCTACGATCGTCTCTTTAAAGTAATTGACAGTGTGATAAATCAAATTTTATCTAATTCCCCTATACAATACAATACTTATTTTAATTTTTCGATACAAAAAAATTCTAAGTTCCATAATTGTAGTTATATATACATATTAGTTTACACCTTTATCAGTTACATCAACATAAAATTAATTGTACAAATGTTTCTAATCTTGATAATTAAAATCTGGTTAGATATAATAGAAATATGAAGAAATAATAATTTTTGTCCTTAAGGATATAAAACGAAAAAATTATTTATAATTAAAATTAGACAGATAAATCTAAAAGATAGACAAAATATAAAAAATTTATAGAAAGAATTTTACATTTTTTTAATTAACTAAATCTTGCTTTAAAGGACAATAAACATTTTATTGCATTTTAATTTTTTATAATTTTAACAATTTGTCCATCAATTGGTCTCGTCACCCTAACAAATATTCAAACACTTCAATTCACAGACAAATGTGAAAAATTTATCATTCAATGAAATCTATGCAAATCATGAATCAGCATTATAAAGATAGAAATTCTTCAAATATAATAGGATAATTTTGTATTACAAAAAGTACGGATACAATTAGACATCCAGAAGATAGTATTTCATTTATTTTAAGAATATAAATAATTATAATTTACTGGCTAGTTGGTGATGATCCACTATTATCATAACGACTTTTATTCTTAAGAAGATATGTTGCGAGAAAATTAATAGGATCTGCAGGACGCTCTTTAGCTAAACTAGATAATGCTTGTAATAAAATTGGTACTACGGTTTGATCTAAATACTGTCTTGTTGGGAGAGACTGGACTTCTACTCTAGATTTCTTTGGTGGCACGCTCGAAAGATCGGAATCTTTTTCCATGGCAATGACTTTCTATAATGTAAATACCAGAATTAAAAAAAAAAAATAACGAAAGTAACTGATAAATAAGATTCAACAGCATTATCAACTACCTTATGTATAAAACAACTTCAAAGAATTATAATAACATTAAATTTTATGCTTACGTGTGCAGTTTCAGAAACATTGCTCACTGGTTGACTTGGGACTGACTCTGTACGTTCTTCTGTTGCATTTTCTGTAAATTTAATTTAATATCACATTAATGTTCGTAAAAAGAGAATAATCAAAACTAAATCAAGGTTATATCATCAGGAACATCTAATAAAAATGACACTTACCACCAGTTGTAGCCATTTTATAAACAAATCAATAATAAAATTCGTTGTCAAATGAGTAAATAAATATTTATTAAAAGCTAAATTAACTATATTCACAGTATTTAAAGTAATTATTACAATAAAATTCCTGTAATATTCACCATTGATAATAGTAACTTTGTCTCGAATGAGAAATTTATATGTCTTATTTATGAAATTTTATTGTTAAACATAAATTGTGGAGTACAATAATCGATTTGTTATGATTAACGTATGAATAAAGATATTTACTTAATAAATTATGCTAGTATGTACAGATACTATTTTGTAATTTAATTATCTTATACATATGTATAGCGATAAAAGTGCGTACAGTATCAATGCTGTTTGGAATCTTTAGGGAAATTGATTATCTAAGTTGGTAGTATAAAAATTTCATGTATATCGTAAAAACGGCCATTTCCGGTCAACTTTTTTGAAAATGGTTAAATTTTATTAGACGTCAATGTTGAATCAAACTTTCATGCTCAATTTCTTACCTTTCTTTTTCACAAATTATTTTAATGAATCAAACCATTTGGTTTTTTTTTATGATAAACAAAACCTTGAAATTCAATAGTAGTCAGTCATAATCAAATAAGTCTTTGTTCAAAACAACACTAACTTAAACATACATTAAACATTTTACATTTTATTATTATTGTATGTTTCATTAAATAAAACAATAATTCTGTCTGTTGGCAAAATTAGAGTGGAAAAAAGCGTCAAGTTTGCTCCAATTTCTTGACCTACTTGAAACACTGATGAAAGTAATTGTGTCCAATCTGTTAGAAACATGGAAAAAAATATCACAAAAAACATTGGCATTGTAATAATAAAAAATCTTAATAAATTAATGCTGTAGAAAACGAATCCACAAGTAAAAAGAAGACTCCGAAACTGCGCAAGGAAAAAATACACAACTAATGCGATGTCGCCACTTTGTTGTAAAGAAAATTTGGAGTACTGAATTGAGAATTAATTTTTCAAAAAATAATAAAGGTAATTCAAAATAAAATGTTTCTGATATTATTTATGTAATTTTTATACCAACGTTCGGAAAAAAATTTTTTAGTGAAACAAAAAATAGTATTTATATATTAGAAATCAAATTCTGAAACTTATTCATGTACAAATATTGCTTTGGACGCTCGACTTCGTTTGGCCTAAAACCGGTAAAAAACTATTTATAAAACCTTTAAATAATGATTTTTTTAAAAATCATAATGGAATAGGTATAATGATAATAATAAAATATATTATTCGTTTAATTAACCCATGAATTTATCACCATAATGCAAAATTAAAGAATTAAAAAAAAAAATTCCCGCTTTTTAACATTATTCTTCAGCGCCTCTATCGGTTAATCGACCATTCAATTTGTACTACGAGATCAAATGAGTATCTGCACTTTACATATTTTTGATCATTAAAAATTAATATCCGGTTTTTATAATTGATTACATTTCTCATTAAGGTTATAATATCGAGTCAATGAGAGAAAAAACTTTTCTCTATTAATTAATAATGACGGAACTGTCAGTTATAATTTATTTTCTGTTTTTCATAATAAATTCGCCATCTTGATGCTGTCAAAGTTGGGTGCGTGCAATAATCCCTTATATTGACGTTTTCTCGTCAATATTTTGATTGCAGAGTGAATAAATCAGTATCAATAGTTGTTTTGATTACTCCAAATACAAAATAATATTATTGAAAATTTATTTTCACTAACGATAAGTTTGGAAATCATTGATATTATGTGAAAATGATAAAATAATTTATACCTAGAAAATTTTACGAAAATTTCTATCCAGTTCAAAAGATATTCGTCAAATTTTTTTATGACTAAAAAACAATGAAACATTACTTATTACAGTAAGTTCTAAATTAACAATTAATACAATGGCCACAGATGTTGAAGAGTCAGACACTGAAGATCATGAACGTCCTGTTCCTCCAAAAAGACAATGCATCAATGTTGTGAATAATACTGAAGACCAGAATCATCAAGTAAGTTTCTTCATCATCACTCACTATCACATTTTTAATATTCAAAGAAACTAATTTTTCAATTATTTACTTGTCAATAATTGCATTGAGTCTATTGCTATTTTATGTGTTCAGGTTCATCAATCAATCCAACAAGATTTAAGTTCAACTGGAGCAAGTAATGATGTCTTAGCAAGAGAAAAATTCCAACGATTTCAAAATGAAATAGATAAACACTGTTACATGGGATCTGTTGATAATACCATTAATCAAGTAATGGAAACTTATATATTAAAACCACCAACAGAACGAGCTCATTTAAGACTATTCAGAGAATTAGAGATGGAAGATACAGCAGTAACGATGGCTATTCGAAATCATGGACTAGTTCACTCTACCGAATTCGTTCCACGATCTAGATTTAGAAAAAATTCTCTAAATCATTGGTCTAGTGATGATGATGTCCATTTTCCAACTGTTGCTAATTATTCTACTGATGTGTCATCAAAATCAAATGATTCTAATTCCACACAAGCTTGTGCAACTACTTCAAAAATTTGTTCACCGAGGACATTCCAACAGCTTGACGAAACCATCAAACATAATTGGAGTGTAAATAAGCCTGAGGATGGAGATGAGCAAGATATTTTGGAAAGAGCTGTGGCTGAGGCTATCAAAATTAAAGGTCTCAGTGCATTAAGCGTAGATTATGGCTAAGATTTAAAGAATTAGCTGAACCATATTATTATTGATATTATGAATGATCTTAAAATTAGATCCACTGTCAGTGATTTCATGCTATCAAGTAATAATATCCAAAATAATTTCTTCTTTAGTATCAGACAGACAAAGACTTACTACAATAATTTGATATCGAATTACATAAAATAGTTATGCTTTTTTAATTTTTCATTTGAAAGTTATTTTAATGCTATTGATTTTTAGAATTCGAGATTCGACAAATCTTTTTTTATTTTTGTTGAATTGTCGTTTCTATTCATTCCTCATTTCTTTAAGTTATAGAAAGAAGAGTGTAGAAAGAAACTAATGTTTCGAGTACATTTAAATCAAATCATTGATTTTTTCAGGATCTTGCATCCATTCTATTCGTGATATGCCATAAAATGTATCTGTACTATTATTATTATTTTTAATCAGTGATTATTCCAGTGATATATTAGTTTTCTTAATATTGAAAATGATAAGTTGATATAATTTCTAGTAAAAAAGTTTTAAAATTTGGTAAATAATATGTTTATAATTATCATTATCGTAGTGTGATGCTTTAATTAAAATGAAAATTATTGATTACATTGAGAAAAAACATGACATGTATATAGTTTGCAAAATGAGCAAATGTATGAGAAGAATTGAATAAAAAATGTAGCATCATTATATGTTTTGTTGCATCCTTTCTTGTTCTACGGTTACAAAAGTCCAGTTATAAACAGGAGGACCTCAACTTCTGCACTATACACACTAGCTTTAATGTCAGTATACTCTTTTATACCTCCTCTATTCCTACAGACAAGCAGTATTATGCGGTTGCAGGTGTAGTCGAAGTTTTGCCTAGGTGATTTATTATCCACATCTTTTCCCCGGAGAAATGTAACCCTGAAAATTTAACGCAAATAAACCCAAGCATGTCATGGGGTTTTTTTTTACAAATGATAGACAATTGAGGAATTCCTAAGTATTGGAAGTTTATAGTTGGTTTAATACAAGTAATAATTTTATTTTATTTACACTGAGTAAAATTTTATTTTCATTGAAAATATAACTAAATATTTCTAAAAACGAAAGAATGTGGAAAATATTTTTATGCTTCGAGTTTTTACTATATATAAATTTTCTTCTTATTAATTATGAATCATGAAAAATGCAAATGAATTAGAATAGGTAAAAATAGCTAAATACTCTAATTATAAAGATCAAAAAACTTGAATTGAACGAAAAAAGAAATTTAAATATTGCTTTAATAATTTTCAACAGAAAAAATATCTATGATGAAAATAATGAAATAGTGTAAAATTATGATGTTTAAGGATAGAGGAGTATAAAGTGGATACTTTCCGAAAAATGAAAGGAAGGGCAAAAGTAAAAAGTGGGGGTTTAAAATAGTAGCTACACTAGTCTTCTTCTTCTTCTTGTTCATTGTGTTAGTTGCATTAGTGCATACATTGTAAGACTGTATGTCGAATATCCAGGTAGTAGTGTGAGTTGGAACCGAAGCGGCCGAGGTGGAGTAAGGGGGTGTAAATGAAAAAGTGAGTGGGGGGGTAAAAAGAGATAAACTCCAATGAAGTAAAGAGTGAGGCATAAGAAAGAAAGAGAAAGAGAAAACGGCAGGCAAATACACGAACGTAACAGTGACGGTGGGCCGACTGTGATCGTCGAAGCCGAACACGAATCCGAAGCTGAAACCCAAGCGCGAGCGTGAGCATCAAGTAACGTTGGTTAATGTCGCATTTCCGCGCTGTTTTTACTCACGTTTGTTGTTGAGAAGTGAAGGATTTTGTTAAAAAACCCAGCCACGCGTTGACGATGGCATCTGACGAAGAGGTGGAGGATAATTACGCGGGTGAGTTAACCAAAAATAAGATAAATATTTGCCGGATAGCTCCAAACCTAGAGGAGGACGCGCGCTTTTCATACGATGGCTGCCATGTCATTTGGTCCGGTACAATTTTTCATTATCTCTACGTTTTACGAAAAATCTTTACTAATTAGGTTATATATTACACATATATATACTCATAACCTATTCAATTTGCAAAATTTTTCCTCCATTTTCTGGATATCTCTTTAATTAGTCAGTCATTATCTAGCCTTACTTTTTTTCTCTTTTTCACTCTCTTTCTCTTCGTTGTCAAATGTAGGTAGTGCAAACTGGTGCATTTTATCGACAATGTCGATTCTCGACCTCGCGACAACATTTTTGTTTGCTTGTATTTTTGCACTTGCATGTTTTCATTCATTCTGATCATAAATTTGGCCGCATTTTGTTTAATTTGGGCTTTTAATTGTGGCCTAACCTATTTCATGAGGTTATTTACGAGTTTTATCATAATTCAGATATTTATGGCCTTCAAAATTAAATGGTTAAATTCAACCAAACGCTACAACAATTAGCCGGCCATGAAATCATAAAAATGAATGAATTTTTAACAAATATTGTACACGTACAACAGATAAGATTCTCTAGATGCTATCCTAATTACTAGGTCTATTTCCTCTTCAATTACTCTTAGCTCATTATCTTGGTTTCGTAATTTAGAAAGTTTACAATTAAAATTAACCAAAAAAATGCTTTAAAAATAATGCATTTTATTTCTATAACTATTTCATTTATATTATTCATTTTTATTAACTCAGGTAGTTTAATGTTTTAAAATATATGAATTCATAAACACACGTTCGTGTTATGAAAATTACATATAGCAATTATGTATTATTATTTTTCAAATTCTGTTTTTAGTTAGTTACAATGTTTGAATGATATTGATTACATACTGCATGTTACTCCGTGACTTTTTAACGTTTTAATATCACCGATAGCTATTTACATGTAAATGAAAAAATATATACAATATATGTAACATCAAAAAAAAAAAAAAAATTGGAGTATGAAAATGTTAAGTACAAGTATACCAACCATAGAAGAGCTTCAATAATATTTTTCCGACTTCAATAATGCTCTCATTTCATACCTCATAATGACAATATTTTTTTTATTATAAACATTAACAAAAAAGTTAATATAGATGATCACGTCAGATATACTAAGAATGTAGTATGTTTGCCCTTTCAAAGAAAATGGCGGCCGCACACTTGTACAAAGCACTCATGGGACGCGGATTAGTTTAAAAATTACATTCATGTTTCCCTGGAAAGTGTCGACAACATTTTTCATTTACGAGATCATATTTTTCTGTACTTAAAACTTCTTATGTGGTTTACGGATTTGATCATCAACAGTTTGTTAAAAATTAATTATTTTTATATTTAGCATTGATACTTGTCTGTATGTATATATGTGTTTGAAATACATGCATAACACATGATTTATTGAAATGAATTCTATTGATTTTAGGCGAAGACGATGTTGATGAAACCACTACTACTGTACCAGCTATTAATCCGCCACTAGATGGATCATCTGATGCAGAAGAATCTCAAAGATTGGTATATATACATTTTTAATGGCCAATTAAGTTATTAATTTAATTAATAAAACGATATAATATTGGATATTTATTTTTAAATATGAATTTGAAGGAGGAGGATGATGATTATGAACCAGAAGAACGAAAGAAAAAGAAGGGGAAAAAGAGGAAAGCTAGAGGAGAGGATAAAAAGGGAAAGAAAAAGAAGAAAAAGAAAAAATCCGACTCTGGAGATGTAAGATTTATCCATTTAATTAAATTGAAGCTTTCATAATTTATGGAAAGAAGGGGAGAATTTATTATTAATGAAATTCTGTTGATCAATAGGAAAGCGATTATGGCGGTGGAGAAGTAGCTGGAGATGGGGCTGGTGAAGATAGTGATTATGCAGGCAATCGTAAGAGTAGAAAATCATCATCGAAAAAGTCTTCAAGTCATAATATATCAGCAACTCCAGATACAGCAACTGCGATGCCAACAATAGAGGAAGTGTGTAGTGCATTTGGACTGCATGATGTTCAGATTGATTATACTGATGCCGATTTTCAAAACTTTACTACCTATAAATTATTCCAACAACACGTTAGACCTTTAATAGCTCAAAGGAATATAAGGGTTTGTATTTCTTCGTAATAAAATATTCAGTTGATCATTGTTGGAGTTAATAATATGTAATTATTTCTTCAGCAACCAATGTCTAAAATTATGATGCTGGTGGCCGCTAAATGGCGTGACTTTTCGGAATTAAACCCTCACACTCGACCAGATACTGACGTTTCAACACAAAATGTTGATGACGAAAGCAAAAGTGTGAGAGCAAATCGTGGTGCTGCTGTTCAAGAAGCCGAGGATGGAGAAGAAGACGATGAAGACAGTGATCGTAAACGAAAATCTCGTGGTTCTCGTGCTAAAAAAGGAAAGAAAACTAAAGTTCCTACATTAAAGATTAAATTGGGCAAACGCAAACGTGGAAGCTCGGTAAATTTTCAGGACTTTTTTGATTTAATAAAAAAGTTTTCTTATCAAGTACAATGGATTTAATATTCTTCTATTTTCCTAGGATGAAGAGGCAGAAGGTAGTGTTGCTGGCTCTGATAGAGATTCCGACGTTGAGTTTGAACAAATGTTGGCTGATGCTGAAGAAACACCAGCACCAGATGCTAATGCTAAAGGTACTCATGAAGATGCAGCAGCCGAAACACCTGCAGAGCCTCCAGTTCGTAGGAAGGCTAAAACAAAGATTGGAAATAAGTCCAAAAAGAAAAAGAAAACTAAGACGACATCAAAATTCCCTGATGGCGAGGAAAGTGTCCAGGTAGAGTTAAGCAATTTGCAGTTTGTGCGTTCATAGCTGTCTCTTAAAGTTTGCTTTTACCATTCTCATCATTTTGGTTCATTATATAAATCTGGTTTCTCAAAATTCTTTTTACTGGGATACTTCTCAATTTTACTCCATTTTATTCAATGTAAATTCAATTCAATTTAAAATTATTTTCCTCATAAATCATTAAGAACGCATATGCTTCGTTGCTCAGCTCTGCCTTATTTGTTATTATCATTATATACTCTATTATTAGTATAATACGGTTATTATCGTTGACATTGTTATCAATCATGATCAAAAGTATTTTTTATCACTGTAGAATGACCGTAAATTTTTTTATTTAATAGACTGATCATCAAGATTATTGTGAAGTGTGTCAACAAGGGGGTGAAATAATCCTATGCGACACTTGTCCGAGAGCTTATCACTTGGTATGTTTGGAGCCAGAGTTAGAAGAGACTCCAGAGGGCAAGTGGAGTTGTCCGCACTGTGAAGGCGAAGGTAATGCAAGCATTTTAGATAAAAATTCCTTCCTCAATCCCCCTCCAGTAGACATAACCGTGGGAAAAGAAGGGTCTCCTATTGTTCAATTCTTTCCTTTTCTTCTCAAGGGTGAATATATTAAAATGATTACCTTTTTCTCTCCAAAGGTGCTGCTGAAGACGACGATGAACACATGGAGTTCTGTCGTGTATGCAAAGATGGAGGAGAATTATTATGCTGCGACAGCTGTACAAGTGCTTATCACACGCACTGTTTGAATCCACCACTTTCTGAGATCCCAGATGGTGATTGGAAATGTCCTAGGTGTTCTTGTCCACCGCTTATGGGTAAAGTAGCTAAAATATTAACTTGGAGATGGAAGGAATGTACAGATAGTCCATCTGAGGAACCTTCGACAAGTAAAGCTGCTCCTAAACAACGTAAAATGCGTGAATTCTTTGTTAAGTGGGCTGATATGTCTTATTGGCATTGTGATTGGATCACTGAACTACAGCTTGATGTATTCCATCCATTAATGTTCCGTAATTATTCCCGTAAATATGACATGGATGAACCTCCTAAACTAGAAGAGCCTCTTGACGAAGGAGATAATAGGGTGAAACGACTGAGAGGTCATGAAGGTGGATCATCAAATAGCCGTGATGTTTATAATTTAGAGGAACGGTTCTACAGATACGGAGTACGACCGGAATGGTTGGTTGTTCATAGAGTAATTAACCATCGAATTTCAAGAGATGGTCGTGCTACATATTTAGTAAAGTGGAGAGAGTTGGGTTATGATCAAGCTACTTGGGAAGATGAGCATGAAGATATTCCTGGATTGAAACAAGCAATTGATTATTATCTCGACTTACGTGCCGCTAATTGTCTTGACGGCAATTCCTCCAGAAAAGGCAAGAAAGGTAAAGGTAAAAAGTCTAAGACTCGAGAACTGATAGATGATGAAGAGCGAACACCTAAACGGTATACTCCACCGCCAGATAAACCGACAACTGACTTGAAGAAAAAGTATGAGCGACAACCAGAATATTTAGATCAAACTGGCATGCAACTTCATCCTTATCAATTAGAAGGTCTTAATTGGTTAAGATATTCTTGGGGACAAGGAATAGATACTATTCTAGCTGATGAAATGGGTCTTGGTAAAACTATTCAAACTATTACATTTTTATATTCTTTGTATAAAGAAGGCCATTGTAAAGGACCATTCCTTGTTTCTGTACCTCTTTCAACGATTATTAATTGGGAAAGAGAGTTTGAAACTTGGGCTCCAGATTTTTATTGCGTGACTTATGTTGGGGATAAAGATAGCCGTATTGTCATTCGAGAAAATGAATTATCTTTTGAAGAAGGTGCTGTAAGAGGAGGTCGTGCTTCAAAAATACGTTCATCACAAATTAAATTCAATGTGTTACTGACAAGTTATGAACTCATTTCAATTGATTCTGCATGTTTGGGATCCATTGATTGGGCTGTTTTAGTTGTTGACGAAGCTCACAGATTAAAAAGTAATCAATCAAAATTCTTCAGGCTTTTAGCTTCGTACAATATTGCATACAAGCTGCTGCTTACTGGTACTCCACTACAAAATAATTTAGAAGAATTGTTCCATTTATTGAATTTCCTTTGCCGTGATAAATTCAACGATTTGGCAGCATTCCAAAATGAATTTGCCGATATTTCGAAGGAAGAACAAGTAAAGAAACTTCATGAAATGCTTGGTCCTCACATGTTGAGAAGATTGAAGGCTGATGTTTTGAAAAACATGCCAAGTAAATCCGAATTTATTGTCAGAGTCGAATTATCCCCAATGCAAAAGAAGTATTATAAATATATTTTGACCAGAAATTTCGAAGCATTGAATCCAAAAGGTGGCGGACAACAAGTTTCTCTTTTAAATATTATGATGGATTTAAAGAAATGTTGTAATCACCCGTACTTATTCCCAGCTGCATCACAGGAAGCACCAACGGGTCCTAACGGCAATTACGAAACATCAGCATTAATAAAAGCAGCAGGAAAATTAGTTCTTTTAAGTAAAATGCTAAAAAAATTACGAGATGATGGTCATAGAGTTCTTATATTTTCACAAATGACAAAAATGTTGGATATCCTTGAAGATTATTTGGAAGGTGAAGGTTATAAATATGAAAGGATAGACGGTAATATTACTGGGACACAGCGTCAAGAGGCTATAGATAGATTTAATGCACCCGGAGCTCAACAGTTTGTCTTTTTGCTTTCTACTCGTGCTGGTGGTCTTGGTATTAATCTTGCCACAGCAGATACTGTGATAATTTACGATTCTGATTGGAATCCGCACAATGATATTCAAGCTTTCAGTAGAGCTCATCGTATTGGACAAGCAAATAAAGTAATGATATATAGATTTGTCACTCGTAATTCAGTTGAAGAGCGTGTTACTCAAGTGGCAAAAAGAAAAATGATGCTCACTCACTTGGTTGTGAGACCGGGAATGGGTGGAAAAGGTGCCAATTTCAGTAAACAAGAGTTGGATGATATTTTACGGTTCGGTACAGAAGAATTGTTCAAGGAAGAAGAGGGTAAAGAAGATGAAGCTATTCATTATGATGACAAAGCTGTTGCAGAATTGTTAGATCGTAGTAAAGAGGGCATTGAACAAAAAGAAAATTGGGCAAATGAGTACTTAAGTTCCTTTAAAGTTGCTTCTTACGTTACTAAAGAAGGCGAAACTGAAGAGGAGGCAGATACCGAAATTATAAAACAAGAAGCAGAAAATACTGATCCAGCGTATTGGATTAAATTACTTAGGCATCATTATGAACAACAACAAGAAGATATTGCAAGAACACTTGGCAAGGGTAAACGTGTTAGAAAACAAGTGAATTACAATGATGGTGGAGTTACTGGTGATCAAGGTGCTCGGGATGATCAGCCCTGGCAAGAAAACCTCTCAGACTACAACAGCGATTTTAGTGCTCCAAGTGATGATGATAAAGAGGATGATGACTTTGATGAAAAAGGCGATGGAGACTTGTTGTCTCGTCGTAGTAGACGTCGGCTGGAGAGACGGGATGAGAAAGATAGACCTTTGCCGCCACTTCTCGCTCGAGTTAATGGAAATATTGAGGTAAAAGAAATTTTCATTCATATTTATGAAGATGTTATGCTGAAATTAAAGGAAAAAAGTACTTTATATGTATTTATCTGTTTATATTATGTCTCAGATAATATTTGATTATTTTTTTGCAGGTTTTAGGGTTCAATGCAAGACAACGAAAGGCATTCCTCAATGCTATTATGCGTTACGGTATGCCTCCACAGGATGCTTTTAATTCACAATGGTTAGTTGACCAGTAACATGATTTTCTTTTATCCCTATTGAAATATTTATAAGATAAAATATCTCGAAGTAGAGCGAGAATTGTAGTTAGGACTGCTTTAATCTGTAGGTTGGTGCGAGACCTAAGGGGCAAATCGGAAAAGAACTTCAAGGCCTACGTGTCACTCTTCATGCGACATCTCTGCGAGCCAGGTGCGGACAACGCGGAAACCTTTGCCGATGGCGTTCCAAGGGAAGGTCTCAGTCGTCAACATGTTCTCACGCGAATTGGAGTTATGTCTTTGATTCGCAAGAAAGTTCAAGAGTTTGAACACATTAATGGTTACTATTCAATGCCTGAAATGATTCGAAAACCAGTAGAACCAGTGAAAGTCGAAGGAGCAGCGGCGGCGACAACAGCAGCAGCAGCAGCTACTTCGGATACCTCTGGTACGGCAACTACCGCAAACAGTACAAATGCAACTCCAGCAACATCCAATGCTCCCAGTCCAAGTCCAGGAACTACACCATCATCAACAGCAGCGAGTGGTGCTTCATCCACTACTCCTAATTCAACAACGCCAACTGACGCCAATAAAACGACAGATTCCAATGAAAATAAGGAAACCAAGGACGAAACAAAAGAGAAGGAAGTAAAAGAAACGAAGGAGGAGTCTAAAGACACTAAAGAAAAGTCAGAAACATCTGGTGAAAAAGAGAATGGAGAAAAGGATGAGAATGTTAAAAAGGAAAAAGACACTGAGGAATCCTCTGAGAAAGAAAAAGATAAGGTTGAAGTAAAGGCTGAAAAAGATGGAGCTAAAACTGAAGAAAAAAGCCAGAATGAAACAAAAGCTAATGCTGATACTGAGGAAGATGTTGTTATTGTTAAAGACGATGAAGAAGAAGAAAAGAAAGACGAAAAGGATAGTAATAAAGAGAAAGAAACAAAAGAAACTGAAGTTGAAGTAAAACCAAAACGCAAATTTATGTTTAATATTGCAGACGGTGGTTTCACTGAACTTCATACGTTATGGTTAAATGAAGAGAAGGCGGCAGTGCCAGGTCGTGAATATGAAATCTGGCATCGACGACATGATTACTGGCTTTTAGCTGGAATTGTTACGCATGGTTATGGACGTTGGCAAGATATCCAGAATGATATCAGGTTTGCAATCATTAATGAGCCGTTTAAAATGGATGTTGGCAAAGGAAATTTCTTGGAGATTAAAAATAAATTTTTAGCAAGGCGTTTTAAGCTTCTTGAACAAGCACTAGTTATTGAAGAACAACTGAGAAGAGCAGCGTATCTTAATTTAACGCAGGATCCAAATCATCCTGCTATGAGTTTAAATGCAAGGTTTGCAGAAGTTGAGTGCCTTGCTGAATCTCATCAGCATCTCAGTAAAGAAAGTCTCGCTGGAAATAAACCTGCTAATGCAGTTTTACATAAAGTTCTCAATCAACTAGAAGAATTATTATCTGATATGAAATCAGATGTTAGCCGTTTACCAGCAACACTGGCACGTATACCACCAGTGGCTCAGCGACTTCAAATGTCTGAACGATCAATTCTCAGCCGACTAGCAGCTACAGCTCCTGGTGGTGGTAACAATCAAACTGGTCAAGCTGCACTTTTAGCTCAACAGTTTCCCGCAGGATTCTCGGGTGGTCAGTTGCAGGCGACTTTTGCTGGTGCTGCTAACTTTGGAAACTTTAGGCCACAATATTCAGTACCAGGACAACCGCCTCAAGGTTTTACAGGTTAGGATCCTTTTTATATTGCAACGATTGATTTAATATTTATAATAAAACTTATAAATAAAAATAAATATATATATATATATAAATAAATATTGGACAAATAAAAATAATAAATAAATATAGAGTGTTAAGATTTATTTACATAAAAATAAAATGTTATTGGTAATTTTTTCAGCTTGAATGTAATAACCTGACCTAATTGGTGGAAGATCGACATAGCCCCTTCGTCAGATGTTACATGAATATGAAAATCGAGTGAACTTCGTGCGGGCTGTAATTTTATTTTTGTGAAAGTCACAGTGACTAGTTGAATTTTCACTAGATAAGGACCTAAGAATTAAACGCTACACTTAATACGTACCAATAAAGAAAATCACACTCCTGTATTTATTATCTGTACATTTTGGCGTCAAATATCAGCAAAAATGAAAAGAAGTGAACTCACGTTTTATATTGAATGAATATTGTTTACATAATAATTAGATTTGTGTAAACCTCGTAATTTTTAATTCAACGAGGATCATAAAATTTATAATAGTTCGATAAATTGAATATGGTTTAGTTAATAATATTTTGAAGAGAAAATTTTTTATTTAAAAATTGCATTTAATTGAATTTTCATAATAATTGTAATTAATTTTAGGAACAGTATAATTTATTCGTTAATTTTTATAAGCAATAGTTGATTTTCAATACATAAAGTACAATTGTTTACTCAATACTTGAATAATAATATACGATTTAGAAAAAAAAATTCAGTTGGCATTGATCAATTTTAATAGATAGATTACATTGATATGTAATAGACATGTGAATTATTATCATTTAGATAATAAAATTCAGGGCCCCAGAATATTTGTGTCATCTTTTAACAATGTCTCACATTGTGAAAAATGTTTAATGCAAAAGTTGTGTATACTTTCTATTTCTGACCTAATGTTTCTGTCCATTAATTATAAAATTAGATAATTTCTATATATATTATTTTACACTTTCATCCCAGATCTTGGATTGTAAATTTATTCCTTTTTGTTTTTTTTTTCTTTTTATTCTTAATATACAATCTATGTATGCTTTTTTTACAACTGCGGAAGTAAATAAATACTAATATTAATTAAAAAATTTGAATTATTGCATCTAAAAAATTTATTCGAAAGAAAACCAATAACTCTGAATGATTAGATGGATGTACCATTTATAGTTATAAAATAAAAATAACAAATAACATAGAATTATACTAAAAATTATTTTACATTATTTCAAGTAAACAGCATATTTTATTTTGTTTTATTGAATGAATCAAAAATGATTTATAGTATAACTAAAGAAAAGTCATTATTTATTCACAAAGTAAACTTTTTAATTTTTATTCCATTTTTAACTTGATTCTTTATTTTGTTTTTGCTGAACCATTTCTCGTAGATTATTCTTACTTTCTTGTAAGCTTTGTTCAAAATAGGTTTTATTATTTTCCAACGTCGTTATCTTTTCATCTGCAGTCTTCATCCTGGTTTGTAGTCCAGCCTTAATTGTAGCGATGTCATCAAGTAAGAACATTCTGCCGACAGATTCGTAGGTTTTGGTTTTACTAGGAAGCTTACTTATTTCAGCTATCGTAAGTTCAGCATGTTGTTTAGATCGCTTCAAAGACTCAATCTGAATGTCTGCTAATTTTAGTTTTTGTGTTGTATCAATCATTTTCTCATGGAGTTCACTGAAGGCTTTCTTCAGTTCTTCATCAGCTACTCTTGCCATTATTACAGAATTAAGTGATACACACGTTAGAAAATTAACCTTTTATAAAAGTTTGACAACTATAAACACAAATGAAGTTATTTAGAGTCTTAATATACGTTTTAAGACTTCAATTTTATTGTTAAATAAAAACTTCTCTGGATTATTTTAATAAAATTCTTGGCGTCTTTGATATTTATAGCAACATCACCAAATAAACTCAAATGATCCACGGAGTATAAAAAAAATATTATTAAATTTTCGCCATCTATTCTTCAATTCCATTTCATAAAACTATTAATCATTTTGGTACACCATCAGTTGGTACTTGAAATTCCTGTAAAAGCCACATTCATCGAATTTGAATAAAAAAATTAAATAAATACAACTAGTAAATATTTACAAGTGATACTTACATGACTTTTATTTTTTATTATATACCTCATTGATATTATAATAAAACATGAATGTAAATATTTGATTAAGAGAATACCAAATATGGTAATAATAGATTTCAATGCATTTTTATATGTTAAAGATATCGTCTTACAAATAGCTAACAAATACTTAAAAAAATTATACTTCAACTTTCACCTATGACAATTGTTTGCAAATGTATATAACCCAATTTTTTTGATTATGACTAATGAGTTAATTAATAACTAATTGTAAAATTTGATGGTAAATTTATCAGCAGAATTTTTAAATGAATTAATTGTAACTGTTTAATGATATTAAATAATGTCAAAGATCAGATGCAGATTAGTTTAATTAGATATTATTTGATGTTACTCTTGTTGATGCTCTATAAATCTCGAAAACACTTTCTTTTCATAAAAATTTACAAGATGTAAAAGTCACTTGCATATACTAGTTTTTTATTATACTTTACAGACAACTAATTCTTGAAAAAAGATTTATTGATTAATATTTTTGTTATCTTGATATTGGAGGAGATTCACTTTATATGAATTTTATTGAAATCCATTATATTATTACCATGTTTGATAAGTTGTAAACTCCCTTTTTAAGTTCTATTGATATTAATTGTTGCTGTTTATAAATTTGTTATATTAAACATCTTCATGATTTATATTTTTTTTATATATTCCAATGAATATACATTTCTAGAACAGAAAAAATATTAGTTCATAATAATATTGGTGAATTATAATATAAATATCATATATATATATGTATAACAATATTATTTTTCTTTTCCCTATGACCATTTATTTCACATCATTTGTACAGAAAAGTTGTTATTACTTTGATGAAAAACTTGAAATGGAAAACATTGATTTTCTTAATCGCTCATTTAGGTGGCTTTTGTTGGACGCCGAGTTAATTATAGATTTTTTATAATTAATTCGTAACATAAACAAACAATTTATGTTCAACTAAAAGATAGTATTTCAACAAAACTTAATAAATTTGAATTTTTTTATGATATGTATGTAGGTTTAGTAATGATTCCATCAAGATTATTTAAAACTTGATGTCATATTGCACTAAATCCCCAATGATTAACAAACATTAATTAAATATTTTTTTAATACTATGATGTTAACTAATGATAAAAAATAAACAGCTATAATTTTTGCAATTATTTGAGGTTGCTCAGTGTCCAACATGAAAGTAAATTAATCATTACTCCATATTATATCAAATACACATATGGATGGATATATGCATTAGAAAATCCAACATTAATATTTCTAATGACCATTATTAAGATTAAATAATTAAAAATAAAGATTGATTCATCTGTTGGATATCTTTGCACATTTGAGCCACTTTGGTTTTTAAATACTACACAATTATATAACTTATATAAAACTAAGTATTCATTTATAAGTTATTAATTACACTAAAAATTGGCCGGATAATATAATCAATTAAGTAGCATAAAAGCAAGATATGTAAAAAAAGTACTAAATATAGCATGGAAATAATTTTTAAACTTATTCTTTCGTAAAGATTTTAAGAAAAACTTTTTCCTTCGATAAAGTTTCGTCTTTAAAAATAATTTTGCACATAATCTAGCATTTAAATTATCAATAAATTACGGTCCACATGTAAGACAATAATTTGGACGTATTCAAAATTTTAACGCGTAAGCAAAATTGATTTATTAAAAGATCAATTGAGCGAACGCTGAATCTTCATATTATTTTTGGACGTATGGCACCGTTAATACATAATTATAGTTCCGTTTCTACCCTGTACAATTACAACTAAATCATAAAAACTTTGTGAAGAATTAAAAAGAGCGTTCTTTGATACCCTTCATGTTCATAATCATTTTGGCATTAGATCACATTTATATACTTTAGCCAGTTGTGAAAAATACTTGATTTTAATATTGTTATCAGTATTATTTATACTATTGATATTACAATCGTATTATTATCATCAACTATAAAGTTCAATGTGAACTTGATTCAAAATCATAAATAATTACTATTTTGTATAATACTAGATTCATTATTATTATCTCATTAAAATATTTAACTGTAATGTAAAAAGTACTAGCTATTATTATTAATCCCAATGTGTACGTGTAAACAAATGCATCAATTTTTAATAATACTATACGCTAATTACAATTAGCATTTGCGCAGTGAATACATTTTTTCTGTATTGATACAAGAGTATACAATTTTATCATTCAGCCACAATTTTGTTTAATTAATATATTGTATTTTTTCAATATAAATTATTTGTAGTAGAAATACTGCATTGTATCCGAAAATATTGTTCTTTTTATTTGAAAATTACAAGTATAGTAACTTTCCTAGTCATGCAATTTTTTTGTCGATTATTTTCATCCCATGTTTACAGCATGTATTTTATATATAGACCTACAACTTGGCAGCGAAAATAAATACAAGATGTGGCATTGATTTTATCATTTTTATACACTAATTCTTTTCGACTGTTATATTTTTTCATACTCATAATACTTATTTAAAAATTTTTTGTCATTTCTCATCAATTGACTAGATTACCCTATCATTTAGTTAGAAAATTAGTTAAAAAAAACATAAATTAGTTTTAAGAAAACTAAATATATCATGTAGCAATAACTTTTTCTAGAAACATTATTTCTTATAAATAATATTCGCGGTCAATATTTTCATGTGACATACATCAAATATAACACAGACATTACAGATACAGATATATCGTTCTCAATCTCAGTTAATAAAAATTATATATCAGAGTTCATGTAATACTCATTGAAATTATCTAAATACATTTATTGCCCCGATGTAATATTCATGCTTTGATTAGTTCTTTTATATTTAAGTATTATTGACGGTCTTAAGTAGGTACTTTTGTTACATGTTTTACAACAAATTATCGAATACCAATACTTTTCTATCTGGCACAGAATTTTCGGTTCTATTGATTAATTACAAAACAGACTAAAATATTTGGCGTAAAAAATTCTACTCATTTCTCAAGACATTCAATTAAAAATAATTAAAAAATATGAGGAGCTAATTGGAGTTTCCAAAGAGATACTGGTCGTGCAAAAACAGTAACTTGACCTTTTTCTTTTCCCCCAATGAGGAAAACATAGAGAGGTGCTGGAGTGACAGCTTCATGGGCGGCAAGTTTAGCTCTTTGTCTTTCTGCTCTCGATGCACTGACAGCTCTTCTAGATGGAGACCCAAGAGCAAGACTTTTGGGCGGTGCTCGAGGTTTAATTTCCTGAAGTTCGAGTAGTTCTGCAAAAGTTTGAGAAGCTGATCGACCTGGTGCATCCTCAAGGACACTATCTGGTGGACTATTAAGCATCTTAGCATACTTAGCATCATCATTAGTTTCTAAACCAAGATAATTAGGATTACAAAAACCAAATTGACCTTCACGTATCGTTGGCGCACGCTGTTTTGATTTTTTCTTTTCAGGCCAGTCATCGTCGGCAAGTGGATCTCCAGGACTACGTGCCTCTATACTCGCGTAATCTGATGTTGACTCTTCACCCTCTTCAAGATCAGCAAACCTAACAGATGCAGAAGTTGGAATTTTTGTTGTACTAGGTGTTTTCGGGCTTTGTACGGCTTCATACAAATGAGAACTATAACTTTCCCCACGAGGTGGTTGACAAGCTTGATGGAGAGTTTCAAAGTCCCCCTTTTCTTCAGCAACATCTATAAGCCTTGTTGTTGCTAATCCTCTTTGTTCATCGTCACTATCTTCATCAGGATCAACAAATACAAGTCTAGCAACTTCTACGGGTGTAAGTACAGGTGTTGGTAGTGTTAAAGCACGAAAATTTGGCACAGAAATGGGTTCTCTTGGTATTCGCGAACTTTTTGGTTCATAAGAAGAGTTTTCAAAGCTACATCTGTTAGCTTCACTCACAAGAGTCCTTTGTCTTCTTCTAGCTAAAGCATTAGCACTTCGAGATTTTACCATTCCACTCGTTGGTTCTACAAGTTCTGTGTCTACTGGCTGGAAAGGATAATACGAGTTGGCCTCTTGAGGAACTTCTTCATTGTCTTCTTGGCCACTGAGGACTGAATAACTACATTTATTTGGATGACTAAGTCTTGAAAGATTTATTTGTGAGAGTTTTGAAATTTCTCGAAGAAAACTTGGTCTCGTTGGAGCTTCACTCGGAGATATACGATTTCCTCCACTGTTAGAGAGAGAAAATCTTGGCTTATGACCACGAAGTCTTGATTTTTGATTATCCTGTATCCCACTACCTCTTATAACAAGTTCAGAAACTGCTAAAGCAACACTTTCTGCTCGTGGTTGTGGTTTTGGACCTGGTATTGTCAATCTTTCCCATGTTTCAGTTCCAAAATGAAATCTCCAAAGATCATTTGTCGCTAAACCATTACTTTCACCACCAAAAATAAGCATACAACTTGGTAATCTACATGCAGCATGACCATGAAGTGGACCAGGTCCAGGTTTATTTTTCAATATATTCCATGTACTAGATTTAACATCCCACTTCCAACAGTCATTTCTTTCTTGTAAGTCTGTCATACCACCGTAAATATACATAGCGTCGCAATGCAACACTGCAGAGTGTTTGTGACGTGGTGCTGGACCACCACCTTCACCCGATGATAATAAGTGCCAAGATTCTGTTTCAAAATGAAACGCCCACAATTCTGGAGAACTACCTCGTAAATCTTGATATCCACCATAGATTAACATCTGACCTCGATGTACCAAAGCCGTATGACCTCTTCGCCCTCTTGGGACAGCACAACCTCTTTGGGCTCTTATTTTTCTCCAAGAATTTGTCTAAAAATAATAACAAATTATTCTTAATAAATTTCATTATTTTTTAATATGCAATTAAAATAGTTAATTAACATGAAATTCATAAAGGTAAAAACCAAATTTTCTGAATTTTTCAACATAATGATTATTCATTAACTTAACACAAAGTTATTTATCTTAATAATTATTATCAATTTTGATTTCATGAGGACAAAAGTGCACAAGTAAAAGTTACAATGACCAAGGAAACATTGTATAAAATTGGAAAGCGTTGCAATAATTAAATTTGTTGTTCGTGCTGTTGCTTTATATGATATTCATTTATTATTCTCTACCTTGACAGTATAAATCCATAGAGGTGTTTCAATGCCTGCAGAAAAGCCGAGTTCACCTCCAAAAACATACAGACAATCTTTGTAAGCAACAGCACTGTGTTCTTGAAGCGCTGGTGGTCTTTCTCCACTAGGATGTAATTCCTCCCACCGGCTTTCCGCTAAAATACAAAAAGCAAATGTTATTATTGGAGTAATTGACACGTCGCCGAAGGAAAGTATCTATGTATCAAAGTTCTTAACTAAGAGAGACTTCTTCAAAAGCGTTTATCTTTCAGTAAATTTTGCACAGACAAAAGATCCTCAGCAACCACTTTCGTCAGCAGTTGACCTAGTATTTCTGATTACACGTGTTCTATCTATTTCATCGAACAAACTAGTGATTTATTATTTAACGACTTTATTTCGCAAGATTTCAGACAATTTTGATGCAAAAAAAGGTAGCTTTTTTATTTCTCTCTTTTCTTATTCTTGACAGATCTTCTTTTGCTTTTCTTTTGCTTCATTCTTTCTTTTCTTTTTTTGCGTTCTGCTAACCAACGACCTCGACCACAATGGCTACATTTTTTTTGTCTTCTATTAGATCTCTTGCCGTTAGGCGAAGGGCAGTAACCACATCTACCAACACAGTCAGGGCAGTCACAACCAGGGGGACGACTACCAAGTTTCGTAAGCTTTAGACTAGTGTCATTCAACTCGTATTCACCCTTGCTATTACGTTTGAGGATACCGAACTCTTCACAAGCTTTCAGACTCTTTGATAACTTTATTTAAGAGACAAAATATTACTAAAATTGAAAAGAGAAATCAGAGAAAAAATAGATTTAAAAGAAATGCATTTAAATACTGAATATTTAATTAAGTCCTTTTTCACTTTTAGATGAGAGGAAATATAATCCAATATATCCTTGATGGAAACAGCTCGTGATTCATTTAAATGATAAATTGCTTCAATTGTACTATTGAATACATTTTCTCTTGTTTTTATCATTTTTTAATGAATGTTTTGAAATATATTTCTGTCGTTCTCAATTTTTTCCTAAATTTCTTCATCAATATTATATTCAATTATTACACTGGATTATATTTAGTATATTTTAGATTGTGTAAGCACAGAAAATTTATTTGAAAGCCTAGAGCAATTTTTTTTCATTTCTACGTGTTTATTTACAATGACTCGACATAACAAAAAAGAATCATATCCAGTAGGTACATCTGACAGGTGAGTGTATTTAAAACTCTCTAATGTTTTTGAACATAATTAAAATATGGGGAAATGGTAGATTGATATCAGTTGTATAACACTGATTAAAAATTCATTTCAAAAAATTCATACTGCTAGCTACATTTTTACATTCTTGTGTTTTCATATAACAACAACCAATTCAATAGCTATCACTTAGGGAAATGACTTTTTTTTAAGTGTGAAAGCTTATAAATTTCTAAGCTTTTAAATCGATGACCAATAACTTACCCAGACTATATCTCCAAAGATCCTTCAATGGAAGATTACCATTGCGTCCACCCAAAAGGTAAACATGACCTCCTAGAAGAGTCGCACTGTGTTTACTTCTTGATGGAGGTGCCGGGCCATTTTCTGTTCCGGCTGCAGTCACTGAGCTCCACATTTTATCCAAAGTCCTCTTTTTATCTAGACACGAAAGAGGATTCTGTAGTTAATCCATTCAGGCTGAAATAGAAATTGGAATTTATTCGGGGATGAGAGTAAAGTAGTTGGCGTCGCCAAGCAACTCCCGTTTTCAGTTTCTCCTCCTGTTTCTCTTTGCCTTCCCTAATATTATATCCACTTTATTCATCTCAAACTACTCGTTTTAACTTGTCATCGACTTTCTGGCGCGAAAAATCTTACGTAACTTTTCCAGTTTGTCTAGGATGGTTTTGGTTTCATAACAAATGTCTTACACAAACAGAAAGCTAATGGATTTATCTATATGGAATCTAAAAGTAGATATCGAAAATTTGCCTCGTACTCTTTCCGTTAGATGAAAGTTCCCCTGTTGTAATTTTATGACATGAGGGTGTTGACAGAATATACGACCACAGAGGGGAAATCTCTACCAGTAAATAATAGCGTTTAGGATTTTGTAAATAACTGTAGATAAAAAGAGTGAATATTAACAACAAAAACTTGGTGGAAATTGTTTTAACTTATCATTACAAATAATCAAAGTATAATAAATCTTTTTTAATATTTTCATGGATAATTTAGATAAATAATTACAAATTTAATCAGCAACATTTTTTTTTTTACTCCTTTAATTTATTAAATGATAATAGTAATAATTTATTTAAAGATAATTTAAAAATCAATAGCTAATTTTTAGAGTAGCATTATGATAAAATTATTTTTCAATGCTAATATAACAATAATTGCATTGTTTACTTAATTAAATATTCTGATTACTCCAATATATATGTAGAAGCCGGAAGTAAAATCAATGAAGTTCATCCAACTTTATTCCCCTCATGTTCTTGATAGGTTTTCATTATTTCCTTTGATGTATTTATTCATATTAAAGAGAATAAAATGGATTACAGAAAAAAAAGGTATTAATGAAAATATTTTGCAGGAAATAAATTATAGAAAATATCAGAGGAAAGTGTATTGACTGAACGAGATTAGCATTGACAAAAACCTCTATTCATCCCTACTGCTGGTTATTTTTTTCCATCACTGTCGAGGGCCTACAAGCATGCATTCACGATAAAAGTATCTATGTAAAGCCCTACTATATCCTATTATCCAATGTAACTCGTGACCCACATGCGAACTCCGATTATTCAGCCAATTAATTGTCTGGACGTGATGTTGAAAATGTTCTTGCTTACCAAAGTCTTTTAGAATATTCAAGATTCATACTTATGTTCTTGATTTATAATTAAACGACGTTCATGGATCCTTTTTACGTCGTTGATTATATAAGATTTCTTACAAGATTATCAAAATGCACATAAGTAAAGTCGTCATGTTTACGTCGAGACCTAACGGGTGGTTGTTCAATTTTTAATTGTGCTTGAAAACCTAACTCTAAACTTTAAACCAATCATGATGTATACAACACATGTGTTATAACTATATTTATAAATGTACACAACAAAAAGAAAGTATATTATTATGGTTGTTATCTAGATATATCTAACATAAAAATAAAACCTTACATTAAATTTGTTGTACAATTTAGAAAATCACTCACTTGATCATTCGTTGTGACAATAATTGAATCAACACTTATTTTTGTTATCTTTTTATCTCAATCTATCACATCACATAAATCACAGAAGTATATTTGATCATCCAATTATGTCCAGTAAATATTTGTCTTTGCATTGTGAGCATTATTTGACCCTTCGAATTTGTTTAGTTGTGGTATTGTATAAGTTATTTCATCATTATCACTATTTCTATACCTCTCATGATGACCAGTCAATTTCCATTAACCGCTGAAATGATTGTAATTCACATATAACTATCATTATTAACACAAATAGTGCTTCTAATTCTTACCACACTGTTTACTTGATAGAATTAAATCTTCAACTGCGTCTGGGTCGAGCACCTAGAGCAGCTCGTCATCATCGAGGACTTGACGCAGGCGCTGTCTAAAACACCCTTCTTCATATTCCCCTTTTCCACCACCTGCTCATCTAAACAGTGTGTTATCCTTTTTGATAACAAAACATAAATGATTTTGATCATTTATAATCTTTATTGACATCAATTATAAATGATGGTTATGTTGACAATCGATATCAGCTTTTTGAAAATTTATTCTCCCAATTAAACTTTATTTTTATTCGTTTGGGATAACATCAAACAAGGATAAACCTATGGTCCACCAGAAATTTGATAAATGCAAACGATGCAGGACATGAAAGGAGTAACGAGGGAGAAATTATGATGATAATGCGCTTGCGCGGGCGTCGGTAGCCATAGCAACAGGATGCAAGAGAGGAAAGCAACCGCGCGTGAATACGTATTGATTACTCAGAGCATTGGACGATCTGGTATCTCTATCCCTTGTCAAGGTATTTGATCTTATTCTTCTAACACTTGAATGCATCACAGATTTGTTACACCCTTATACCTAATCCCAAAAGACATTTTCCAGCTTTCCGTTGATGGATCAACTCATGTAATGGATAAAAAATTCACGCTTACTTGGTTATCACTCTGGGAAATTGCCAATATCAACTTCCCGCCTTTGAAATACATGAAAGTTTCTATCATTTCAATAAATAAATGTAGAGAAATATTTATCATTCAGATTTGATTTTTTTTAACATGCTATACATCAAATTCCAGGCGGAACTAATAATGTTGATGTTTCATAACTGTTGCTATTCACGGGAAGTTAAAATTAATTTTTTAACTTACTTATTGTTCATATTAAGAACAAGGACAATAGTTTCTCTAATTGTCAAATGTCGTCTTTTAAATCTTCTAGAGTTGCTGAAAATTTTTTTTACCATTCTAGGAAGGCTCTTCAGATGATAGCATGAATATCATGAATCAAGATGTACCAAAGGATCTTCTTCCCTAAATACTTGGCGCGAAACATTTAAAAGGGGCTCAGAGGACTGTTGACAAATGCAAGTGCAATTACGAGAGGGAACATGCCGTAACGAAGCGACAGTTGCTCTATGCGTGACACTCTCGTTTTCACTTCAGCAAATTCCTGTCACACTTTATAAATCTTGATAAAAATTGCGACTTTTTTTTCTTTCATCTCCATAAATTATTTTATGTTTTAATTCATTATTTTAAATTCATCATTTTAATTTATTTATAAGCTAATTGATTCATTGATTAATTTTTGGGAACAATAACATCAAGAACAAAAGCTTTTAAAAAGAAATTAGGAAAATGATGAGCATGTAACCCTGAAGGGCAATCTATCTAGTGAGTGCTAGCGTGTGACCAACATATAAATAGTGAAACTCGGGAAATTAGAGAGTCATTCACTTACTATTTTTTATACGTGCAGCATCATATTTTATTTGAATATATAACCGTACTGTTATTCACGTTCGACTAGTTTTCCAAATGACCTAAGTCTGAAAACGTCAATAAAAATGACTCTTAAGTCTAGTGTTTGCCTCATTATTTTTATCATCATTACCAAAGAATCATCAGCAGTTTCAGTTCTTTCCGACCATAATAAATTGGATCCTGTTAAACCATCACCAGTCGATGAAGACAACAATGAAAAATCTCCTGATAAATTTGTCTTGCCTGTAGTGGATTCGTCTGATAATAATAAATTTAATAAACGCGAAAATGTGCAAAAAGAGAATGAAAAGTTTTCTGAAGATAACAAAAATGATGAGCGTTCACTTGGAAGAATTACTGAAAGAGATAAGTTGCTTAAAAATTGGAGTTATTTTTTTAATTTAATTAATAACTTTTGTTTGAAGGAAAAAATTTTATGAAGAATATTTTTCTTTAAGACTCAATTGCTGTGGAAACAGATTTGAATCAGGAGGACGCAGTGGCGAGAGTGGAACACAATTGACTACAAGAGCATCAGATATTCATCGATATCCAGAGAGACTTAATCGTCCAGATGACAGAGATAGAGATCGATATAACTGGCACGCCTCATCAGGTAGACCTGGAATCAGTTCTACTACAAGTGATGTATATGGTAATATTGGAGGAAGTGGTGATAGGTCAGTAGAAAATTTTTTTGAACATTTAATTCAATTAAAACTTAAGTCTATTTCTAACAGTAATTTTCTAAAAATACTTTCGCGAAAAATATTTTCAAAAAATTCATTTTACCCTAGAAGACATGGAACTAGACCACCATTTGGAAATTATGAACCAGAATACGGAAGACCCGGATATGGTGGAAGACCAGGATATGGATACGGTTATAGTGGATATGGTGATAGTGGAGCCCATGGAAGTCATGGACATGAAGTAGGCTATCGTCCAGGTAGTATTTTTTTCTCTGGACATAAAAGACCGTTCTTTGGTATCCATGGTGTTCTTGGTGGACAAGAAGAAATCCCAGAAAGTGGTGAAGGTGATGCATCTCCTTCACCGCCTACGATAAATAACATCCAAACACAGAAGGTAAACTGAGATGATTTGATAATAATCAATAAGCCCGATTTATTTAAGTAAATCAACTTTATTTTACTCAGCTTACTTGTTTTATATTAAACAAAACTGTATTAATATATCATTTTTAATTAGTCATTTAAATTTGTGTAAAATTATTGTTCAAGTATTTATTTATTTAGGCTGTAGCTTTAAAAGCATTGGCTGGTGTTGCATTGATCGGCGCAGCAGCAGCACTAGCTGCTAACCCAGCTCTAATACCTGCAGCTGCAGTATTACATGGTAGAAAACGACGATCAACTGAAGATGATACTGGATTTAATTTATTAAGTTTTCCCGAGCAATTTATTAAACATCGCATGCCTGATGTCTATGAAAATGATGAGACTGCAAAACAATTTTGGGATTCTCCGAAATGTGTCGCTCGACTTGCTTGTGAAGTACAAAAAGAATATGTTAGAGCTATCACGAAAAATCCAGAACTTCGAAAAGATGTAGAACGACGAATTGGTGAATTGTAAGTACTTTAAGTTGTATTATTGATGGACAAAAAATTAACATGAATATTAAAACTGATTTTCTATCGTAGGATTGACAGCGAGATTTTCAGTGCAGACTATGTATACCAAAGTCTCCAAATGCTTACTAAAATAGCTCGTAAGACAAATACTAAAGATGGAAAATGTGAAATTTTTACCTGTAGTTTTTTTTTATAATCTAAATAATCGTAAAAGATCTTTTATATGATAAAGTTTTTAATGTTTAATAAAATGAATGAATTTAAAAATGAGTTGTTTCATAATTAATTGATTATTGATAAAATAAAGTTTATTTTATCCTTCAGTAAATGATTTCAGTGATTAAAGAAGAATTGATAAATAAATGAACTATTTCAAATGAAACATGATTCAAAATGATTTTACTTTTTTTGCCAAATAGTAAAAGTTAGTGAAGGACGAAAATTGTATCAATATTATTGAATGAGTATACCTAATAATTGTTAGTTGTAGTAATTATAATAGATTCAATTAATACAAATTTGATAATAAAAAGGCTAGGTTAATTTTTTCGCTTTCTGGTAAAGTGTATCCACAACTTTTCCCATGCTGTGTATCGTCTCGAGAGCAATTTCATATGTCTTATCACGTGGTGCATCTTCAAAAACAATTAAAACACCTTCACCTTGATCTAAAACACCCAATAGTTTTTTATCTAGGATCATTTGTGATAACTTCTTTTCTACTTGAGCAATTGGCAATGCTATACATGATGCTATGTGAGCAACCTAAAACATGACGTAAATAAAACGTTGAAGCAATTCTCAAAATTCTTCTATATTAATAATAACTAATTATATGAATTGTTTCAATTTACCTGGACACGTGAATAAGGTTCAACCAGTCGACAAAGATTTTGTTCTAACATTGTGTCATATAAAGAACCAAGATGAGCTCGTACGATAACATCATTTTTTAGCTCTTGACGGTAAGATTCGACAGAATTTTGGAAATCAGCCAGAGATCTTTTGTGACTGGCTTCAGCAACAGCTTTCATAGCATCCAAATCACGGCCTGCATACTTGACTGCCAGTTTTCCAGACATGATAGTTGAAACATCTTCAGGTGTTCGGAGCATAATTTTTGAAAGTAACATGTATTTTAATGCTGTCAATGCTTTTGGACTATCAGCACTGTCATATCTATAACAAAATAAACAATTAAAAGTAATTTAGTGTCTAATTAAATAAAAATCATTTAGTATCTTATATAATATTTCATTTTGTGGAAACAAATCAATCAATTACCCTTCAAAAGCTTCGTAAAAGTAGGAATAGGCAGTCTTGAAATCTCGTTCATCTGCAGCATGAAGAATACCAGACTGCAAATCCAAAGCAGCTTGCATTTTTGGTGGGCAGTAGATAGCATTTGCAGTAGTTCTAGCACTTGTTAATGCAGCTCTAGCTTTAGCTAAATTACCCAAAGCATGGTAGGTTTTGCTTTCCAACAACTGGACTTCAACAAGTAGTCGTTTATCATCCAATTTTTTGAGTTCCTTTAACAAAGCCGAGCTTAATTGAAGAGCTTCAGTAAACATTCCAGTGTCGAAATATAGAGCTATTAATCGAGCTTCCAAAGATTGCCTTAAAAACGTCCTCCTTTCTTCTTTTGCCCATTCTATGCATTCTTTACAAAGTTGAACCTAAAAATATCAATAAGTTGAGGTTAGAAAACTATGCTGCGTCATTACTTGTTAAAGAGTTGTATATTTTACCTCAATTCCTATTCCAGCTTCTAAATCCAAGAAAAAGTCCACTAAAGATCTGACTAATTTAGCAGCTTTAGCCTTGCTAATCAGACTAAGGAAAGGTCTAGTAGCCTTGATTAGGTCAGCAAGTTCCTTAGCCTTACCCTCCTTTTTATAGAGTTCTCCAAGTTGGAGAATACCTTGTTCTTTGATTCGAATACTCTCTTCATCATCTTCAGTGGCACCGATACTTGCATCAGATACTATTTTGTGAAGAAGTGATATTCCTTCACTCCGATTTGTTATACAAGCCGCTTGAGCACGTTCAAATAACATTGCGCCGGCCATTTCCACTTTATGAAACCTATTTACTGCTTACTATGATCACTGCTTACTTTTCGTCATTAAGACTCGAAACGTCTGGCAAAACTCGTGTCATGCTGCTACTGAAGTCAAATGAAGATCCAGAATGGAGTAGAAAATTAGCAATGAAAAAATTTACGAGAAACTGATCTAATCAGAGTATAAACAGCGAATTTCATGCCCTCTGATGCCTTGTTCAAGATACTATATGAATTCTTGGTAGAGGTTCAAGAATCTAATAATTATACATGTTTAAGACTGTACAATTGAAATTATTTATTAAAAAAAATAAAAATAATTAATAAATACTTATGAGAAAAGAATACATCATTTAAGAAATTCTTTATTGAAAAATGACTATTAAAAATAACTGTCGGAAATACAGAGTAGTCAATTAAGTGATATAGTCAGCCATATTGGTTTAATTCTTCACAGATAGCTTTTCCGGAATTTAAAAGACTCCAAATATTTGTTTTTTTTTATAACATGAAATATTAATATTAAAAATAAATTAATAAAATAAATGATTATCTAACTCTCTAGGAAACTCTTTACCGAACCCATGATTCTATTTTCATCAAAAGAATCTCCTTCAATAATTTTAAATATCTCAGCTTCCTTTTTACGGGCTGAAATACATGCCGCTGTTGTACTCGGTGATATTTCTCGATATAAAGATGATGAAGAGCTCATGTTTCTTAATATGTAAGACATATTTGAAGGCCCTGATACAGAAAAATCAAGCCTAGATGGTTGAGAAAATAAAAAGTTTGTCTCTGTGGGGTCAGGATGTAAATTATGAAAATAATTGGAATTTTCTGCCATCATTGTAATAATCGATGACTCAGATAATGATTTAGATAATTCTTCTATTTTATTTACTTCATCGCAATCATTTGATGGAATATTCATAGCTCTACTGACAGACTCTGATACTACAACACATTCATCAATTGCATCTGAAGTTCTTTTGAATTTATTTGACTGCGAAGTATCACCAGCCATTTTCCAGGACACATTTTTTAATATATGTCTCATATAACTATACTGTTCTGGAATATTATCCATGGGAATATTCATTCGAGTCTTTTTTTCTGGCGGTCCGAATATATTCATTGGAGATGTTTGATTCGATCGATTGCTGTGATTAATAAGCTCTTTCAATGGTGTGTATTCTTGATCTATAACAAGTAATTCAGAAGTAGACGTAGTTTTACTTTGATCATCATCAGCATCATTCTCTTGAGATAAACCAGTACGCTTTATAGTTCTTATAGCTTTCTGTAAATCTGCATATTGCTCTGGCACATATGATTGCACCGAATGAACTGCATGTCGTGATACTTTCTTCTTCAGTTGACTTGATTCTGAATGTGGAATAAAAAATGGAGATTCTGTACTTGATAATTTCTCCAAACTTTTGATTTTATGATTAGCATTCTCAAATGATGTACTTTCATTCGATAATTTTTTATTTCTTTCAGATGTTTTAGGTGAATTTAGATACAGAGGTGAGTTTGGATCTGTCAGAGGATTTTTTAATATTTTTCTTACCTCTTCTGGAGTGTGAGCAAATATTCCATTCTTTTTTTCATAAATATTGCGATCTGATAAAAAAAACGTTGAATCTTTAAGTCTTTCTATTTTAAAAATTTTTGGTTTTGGAGCTAATGACGAATTAGTTGACGATGTTCGTTTGCTAGAATGTGAAGGTGATTGAGTTAGCACTAATGATTCTTCTCCACTTTTTGGTGTAGTAACGGGATGAGGTTTCTTGAATCCCTCGTTATTAGAACGCAAAGACAAAGTTTGTTTTATTGATTTTTTTTTAGTATCATTATTTTCTGTCAATGCTGATTGAGCTTCTTGTATCTGGTGAAGAGATATTAAAGCTTCATCTTCTTGAATATATTTTAAATCTCTAATCATTTCAGAAATTCTTTCTGTATTTGTATCTTTTTTCTGCAACTCTTGATATATTACAGCTAATGTGTCATAATTTTTTTTACGTTGTAAAATTATTTGAGTATCTTGCTCACTAGTTTTATCCATCATAGGCTGTAATAAGTAATTAAGTTGAAATATTAGAAAATTTTTGGCGTAATAATTTTAAAAATTGAATTTAAATATCACCTGAAGTGCTTGAGATAAATCTGTTGCTAATTTTTGAGAGTTTCGAAGAATATTTTCCGGTAAGCCTGTAGATCGAGCTAATTTTAATCCATAATGCTCAATTACTGATACACCTTGTTTTAAATGATGAGTATACACCAATCTTGAGTCGTCACTATTAGTTTTCTCATTCAAAATAGCTTCTAGGTAATGACTAGCATTACAAAAAATTGATGGTAATATTGTTACTTTGTTTTAGCTCTTTTATTTATACTTACTTTGTTACATTTGGATATAAATCAGCCATTTTCAACAATTGTAAAAAATGAGTTGCATTGAATGTAAAAGCTGAAGTACATGAAAGTTCCTCACATATTGCCCAAGCAATAGATGCTCCTTCTTCAACAGTCGTGCTTCTAGCAAGTTCATCTATGATTATCAACGACGATGGAGTAACTGATTGTAACATAAATTGAGCTTCTTTCATCTGTAACAAAATTGTAATTAATTTTCATAAATTAGTTGTATTTTTATGATCAGTTACACATCATAAAAGTACCTCTAACATGAAAGTTGAGGCATTATTTTCAATATCATCCCGTGCTCCAATTTTGCAAAAAATATGATCAGTAATACGAAATTTAGCTTTAGTGGCAGGAACATAACACCCAAGTTGAGCCATGATTTGTAAGAGAACTATTTGTTTTAAATAAATTGTTTTTCCACTCATATTTGGGCCTGTTATCGTATGAAAGTTATATTGAACAGAAGCAACCTGTAGCGAAACAATTATAGATTTATCATTTAATATACTTCATGAATCAATTATTAAATTACGACATAATAAGATTAATTACCACATCGTTGGGTGTTGGGCTCTCTGTATTAAACACATCCATCACCGGATGTTTAGAATTTCGCAGTTCCAGGTCTACCCCAAATGTTGGTTTTACATAATCAGTGATTGAACTAATTTGTGATAAAGCCATAATAAGGTCAAGCTCAGCCACATTGTCATTAAATAAAAATAAACAACCGATGTATTCTCTGATATCGTCTAAAGCTGACTTCAATAATCTACACCAAAGGAAAAATATTATATGAGATTTTTAAGAGAATTATTAAATTCTTTTGTTTAAGTAAAAACGATATTGTATGGACATTAACACATCACTCATTATATGAAGCTCTTCAGAAGCTTCATCACAATGTATACTGAGAACAATGAGCTGTTCCGTAGTCATCAGTATTGAGTTTTTATATTTTTTCGCCTGCAAAAAACAATTAGAGATGAGTCAAGTTTTTTCTTCTATTTTCATAATCATGCTCTAGAAAAATATGACAAGAGAAGTCTGTTTTATTTACGTGAATAAATTCTTCTGGCAAATTATTTATGTCAAAATCGCGTCGTCCTACATTCATTTCAATATGGTAACCCCAAGCAGAATTACATTCAAGTGATAAAGGAAGATTATATTTAACGCCAAGTTCATTAACCATAGCTAAACAATAAATTTAAGTTTCTACAGCATGCTCATGTAATTAAAAAAAAAAATTCCATAAATAATTACATTTCATATCATCAATTAATTCGCAGTAAGTCTGGCGTGCTACATCAAGTATATCATTTATGCCAGGTTTAATTGCAAAACACCTTTGCATATTGGAAGAAGTGTAGCCCATTACTGCTCTTGCATCATCATGTACAATACTTAAGATTCTTTGTTTTATTTTATCAAAAACTTCGTCTTCAAGATCCTAAAAATTTCAGTTAAATACCATTTATTATAGCTGATAATTATTTTTCCAAAAGATTTTATTCATAAAATAATACCAACCTTCATAACTTTTTTAAAAAAAGGAGCTTGAGCTGTATTAAGGGCAGTTCGAAATTCCGGAACTATATCAACAATGTTCTTCAATAATAATATATAATTGAGATTTCTCTCAGCTCTAAGTACAATATTAGCTTGCGGTGAGTACATAGCTAAACTCAAAAGTCGGCTTGCCCCAAATAGACGACGGATTATAGGCTACATTGAATATATCATCTTGATTATTAATAAATCTTAAGTCAGTAATCGAGGGGATAAACATTTACATACTCGAATGATTTCGAATAATGAACGATTCGAAACTAATTCCTCTACGCAAGATAATCTAGCCTCTATAAAATCCTGATTACAAGGAGGTTGAAGGATCGAAGCTCTTAGTAATCTTCTACCCATTGGAGTTGAACAGCGATCTAAAGCTCCCAACAGACAATGCTTTGGTTGTCCTCCTTGAGCAACAACTAATTCCAGTTTCTGAGCGCTATCGATATCTAGACGTAAATAAATCAGGTTAACCAATTTGATATAATTATTGGATGAAACTTAACTGAAAAATTGAAATTACCGATTATGGTACCATTCTGAGAGCCTTGAAATTCAATGTTCATTGATTTGGGTAAGTATTGAGTATGCTGAATGAATTCAATGTATTTCATCAAAGCTGCAACTGCTGCAAGAGCATAATACCTGCAATAATAATTAAATATTGTTATTATTTTATTTTATTTATGGAGTTTTATTTTATTGGATGTAGTTGAATTTTTTACTTTTGATTAGCTATAATCTCTACAGAAGAATATTCTGTAGCACAATGAGTTCGAATTCTCTCTAAACCAATAATATCATTAAAGTGTATTCGTTGAACACCGGTTATAGGAATATTTTGGAATTTTTCATGAATTGCACTGTATAAATTATGACCAGATTCACACATTGTATCTGGCATTATTATCTAAAATGTAGAATAAAAATGAATATTAAATATCTTTAAAAAATTCATGGTACTGGTAGCAATGAAAACAACTTACTTCAACAGGATTAAGTGAATGAATTTTAGTTAGAGTATTTATGTAGGAATTATAATCACTTATTTGACAAAGAATCATGTGAGGATATTGAACGTCTACTGCGGCTAATCCTACTTCCCCTCTTGCTTCTCCACGACCGCATGTAACAGCTAGAGTGATAAAATCATATTGATTATCGATGTAACTGATCAATAACGTTAATTAATATTTGAATAAACATTTCTACCTATGATTACAAATGCTTCATAGTCATCAGAAATGCTTCCTGATGTAGTTGTTCTATCAACTTCAGAACTATAAAAAATATTTTGCCATAAATTGAAATATATATTATTATTTAATGATTCAAAACGAAAAGCTTACTCTGTAGTTTTTTTAGCTGAACTTTTTTTGCTTGAAGACGACGTGGTAATACGTCCTCGGCGTGATGATTTTGGAGTCACTGTAGTGGAGCTTGATGGTCCAAAATTTACCAAAGGTTTTCGAATGTCTAACAATTCTATAAATATTAATTAATAATACATTTTTTTCTTGTTTAGTGGTAAATAATGTTTTTTAGATAATATATAATCAAATGTTACAATGATTAAAGGTATAAAGATGTATAAATATTGATACTTACGATATTTTGGTAAAATATTAACGGTCGATTTTACATTTACATCAAGTGCACCTACTTTTTTACGATTTTTATTTCGTCCTCGGCCCTTGGATAGTCCCAAAACATTATCATGATTAATCACATTCATTATATTATTTTTTTTTTGTTGTTCAAAGCTCTAAAACAAATATGTTTGTTTTTGACATCAAATTTTTATTTAATTCATGTGCTTCTTTCTTCGGCTCCAATAGGATTTGAAAAAAATGTTTCGTATTCCTAGATTTCTAAGAAATTGTAGAAAGTTATCGACATTGGATAATAAATCATCCATTTTTTGGGGAAATATTATGCTCATAAAGACTCTCCAGGTAGCATTATTTGCATATTTTGGTGCAAAGGATCCTTTTTTTTATTACCCATCGTAATTCAGCGCATGCGTCAATTTATTGCACTTGCGCATTTTCCTTATAAAGACATGTCGTTTTCTCCGGCAGTTACTTCAAATCAAATAATTCTTGAAAAAATTGTAATTTAATTAAATTCATTATGCGAAAATCGAAGTTTAAACGCATTAAAACTTTGGCAGCTATGATAATGCTAGCACATGTATACAAAGAAATTTCAAACAGTCCAACAAAGAATAAAGACATCTTTATGAAACTTTGCAATCACTTAAAAATATATCGGAAGAGTCGTCGTAGGGCATTTCAAGTTTATTCATATTTCCAATGGATTGAAGACCGTCATGAATTCCAGATTACTATGAAGAATATGCTATTATTCAAAAAAAAAAAACAAATGAAAATCATTATGCCAGCATTTAAATGATTAAAGCACCATTTTATTTGTATTTCACAAGTAGTTGATATTGTCTTTGATAATATCATGATAATTATAAGTAATTTGTAAGAAAAATTAAATATCTCTAACAGATAAATGGTAAATGTATCATGTACTTGTTTTACTTATGTATTGTATAATCGAAATGTAATAAAATGGTTGTACTTGTACTTGCAATATAAATGTCAATTGTTTGTTAAATAAACATTAGTTGAATAATTTATTTATTTGACATGGATTATTTTTAAACTGATTCTAGCTTAAATATTTTTACTTTTTTGAGGAAATTTAAGGAGAAGCAAACTAGATTTAAATGGATATTAATATTATTGTATGATAAAATTATTAAATCTTCGATTTGTGTTTTTTTATAACAAACAAAGTTAACATAAAGATCATAAAAAGTAGAGAAAATTTATGACAAAATGTTCGTTTAAAAAAATTTGAATAAATGCAGACATTTGTTTTTGAAAAGTCTACAAATAACCCTACGTTTGTTAGGGACTTTTTTGGAGTAACATGGTCTTGATTTTAAAAACACGTCAAACATCTGCTAACTTCAGAGTCATGTCTACACACATATGTCAACAATAGTAATCAACAGTGTTTCTCGAACTCTTGCATTTAAATTTGTCAATATTTTTATCTGAATAATATAAATATCTTTATTTCTCTTGTGTATGAATTAGTTAACAATTAGAGTACAATTTCCTAATGCACAGTGGTCATATAAACATCCTATACTAACAATCATAGCATTTGTTGTCAAAACAAACAATTGATAATCCTATCAAGCTGGATATTTAATTGGACATTAACTCTACATTTGTAGAAAAAATCATACTTTACAGTATGCTCAATCAATTGATAACTTTTATTGTATTCTATAATTTATTTAATAATAAAATAGTTACTGGGTATGGCTCCAATAATTATGGATTTGCCGGTTAGTATAATGTTTTAACATCTTTATTATTTTTATTATATCATTTTATTTTTATATTGTAATGATTCTTTAAGATGGTGGAATGGGTTCGAAATTTAACTTGCTGCAAACAGCAGATGATGATCAGCCATATGACCAAGAAATAGAAGATATGAAAACTAAATTAAAAGAACAGAGTTTTAAAGAGGCTTTAGAACATTGGACTGGAAAATGGATGCCTGAAAAAGATCCTGAACCAACTCCTATTCCAGTAATTCAATCTCAACCAAGTATGGGGATGAATCACCGTGTATCAATGGGTGATGGAGATCCTGAATGTGATGATGGCAAGGTGATTTTATTTTCATCGTAGTAACTATGCCCAAAGTCTTTATTTCGATTATAATTACTTTTTGGTCTTTCAAAATAGTATAAAAAATTATTTCTAATATTTCATAATGTATTGACAGCGGTCAATTGTTTTGATAATAACCAGAAAAACAATTCAATTGATGTTTGTGTTTCAGACTAATTTAATTGTCGACTGGAACTTTTCTCCTGTTAATTACACGTGTTATCATGAAAAAATAACTCCGAGTTTTGCGATTGATCCACAATTATATTGTGAACATATACCACCATACTACAAAGTAAGTTGATAAAGTATTTCCTTGATAACAGGATGTATTATGGTTTTCCTCTAATTGATTCTTTGTTATTTATTTTAGGCACATCATGTCTGTATGAGGCATAGGATTGAATATGATGATGATATTCCTATGTAGTAAGTTATTATTATTTCTATTATTCTTCATTACTTTTTGATGGCGATTTATCTAACAGTAAATTTTAACAGTGGACCTCATCGTCCGGTGTGGCCAATGTATGGAGAATATAAATATCTTCCACGACAAAGATGGATTCACAGTCTCGAAGTAAGTTGTTCTTTTATTACTTATTAAATTTATAAACTTAATTTTAAAACAAATAATTCAATTAATTTATATACTTTTTAGCATGGTGCAGTTGTGATGTTATATCACCCATGTGTTAATCCTGATGAACTGAAACAATTAAAAGATTTGGTAAAAAAGTGTCTTAGACGTCATATCATAACTACGTATGCTCTTCTTGATGAAAAAAGAGTAAGTTAACAACACAAGTTTATGTATGTATCCATTTTTATTACATTAACAATATAATTTATTATTATCTTTCAGCCATTTGCATTAGTTACATGGGGTTGTAGATTAACTATGTCATATGTCAATCCAAGTTTGATAAAACGCTTTATCCGTACTAAAGCTCTTCATGGACCTGAATTTATTGCTGATGATGGAAAGTTCACAGAAGGATTATTGACAAAAGCTGCAATTGTATCCGATGAAAATGATTCAATTTTATGTCCATCACGGTAAAAATGTTCTCAAGTATTAACATACTGATATCAATGATGATACATATAAATTGATTTCTGTTTGCATTCTCGTCATTTATTTTAAGCCAAAGGAATCAATGAAGTTTTTTTACCCGATGTTATAAATATATACTTATTATTGAGATAACATTTCTATTTATTTTAAATGAATATTCTTATTTATGATTATGTTACTGTGATTAAAATTTTAGAATATACATAATCAAAAAATATATAATACCAGTCTATAATAATAATTGTTAATAGTAGAGAATATTTATGATAATTTATTATTATAAAAAATCTAAAGAAATATTCATATATTGAAATAGCAAATTCATCGGAAAAAATTAAACTCAAAAATGAATTATAATTGATTTTATTTTTTTTATAACATATTTTTCAACACATTGAACACCGTGATGTTTTTAGTTTAAATATTTTCTTGAGGGTTGTGTCTATAAGTATAGATACTGATACCGTATTTTATGTGCTAACTATGGGTGGACGATTTTTTTTTTTTAATGCAGACATTATTAATTACATATAAAATGAACGTAAGATAATATTCTAATGCCAGTAATGTAAAATATACATTGAACTATCTCAATATATTAGTGAAATATAATGTAATAAAAGGATATAATTGTACATTAACAAGTATTTTTAAGTTAAATTTATAGTTTTATCATTCATTTCATTCTTGAATCAAATAAATATAGGTGAAATTATTTTATTTATTTCCGTATTATTTAGGTACATATCCATTAAGTGTACGATCAAACTGACTGATGTCTTTAAAAAGATATTTAACATGATATACATATTTCAAAATCTACTGTATCATTTCAAATAATAATCAAAATAAATAGCATCATTCTGTGAACAAGTCTTCAATGATTATCTACGTACCACATATCTATACTAGTATGTCATTACAACGATTCCATCAGCAAAAACGTCAAATTCTCTCACGTTTCTACGTTTGTAAATAGTTGATATGATTGTTACAAGTGAGCAATAGCATCTCCAAAGACGGCCTGCCAGTTTGATGCGTAGTGAACAAAAACGTGTGATTGTATCACGTTCAGGTTTTTCTTCATTTTTATTTATTGAATTGAATCAATGTAATTTCAATACTAACAGCTAGAGAACTACTTCTATCCGTAGAGAAATGTTCTTCTTTTGTGCTGTTTACACTTTAAAAGGGCACATATAAGATAATCACATACTGTCTACCATAATCATCATCATTAGCTCAATACTTTTAGTATTGAAGGTCATTAGATCAGTTTTGAGACATTATTCAACATTATTATTTATTTTAAAAATTAAATTACTTAGTTTTATGATTTATTTAGATAAAAAAATCATTAATAGGATGTATTTAATTACTATTATGTCTCAATACTAATCAAATGACCCAATATTTCATTAAAATAAAAATACAAGCTGTACACCATCACTGTCATAGATAATTCGGACTAGACTGTTTCATTTGTTTAAATTAGATTAAGGTAAGTATAGTATTTTTTACAGAATATTATTATTAAATGAAATAATTTAAATAAGATGTAATAAATGATATTGTTCATTCACAAACCCGAAAATTGATATGCTAGATATTTATTTTTTAAGCAATGCAATGATTATGGAAGGTACTTATAATTATTGCCAAGTTTGTACAGTGAATATCAGTAATTATTAATTGTTTTAATTATTAATATTAGTGTGTATTATTAAATTTTAAAGGAAAATCATTTCACTTCAAGAAAAGATTAATTATTAAACTTGCTTAACGAAAGTATGAGAGTATAATATTTTATTAGGCAGAAAACACCATTGATTTATTTAATAAGATTTTTGTTTTAATACAGTATATCTTTATTTATGATTTCTTTCTATTAAATACCTACAATAAAAAGTATTTGCCATATTTGTAGATGCATTTGTTTCTTTTACTACATTGAAGAATTGTTGTTTTTTTTTTCATTGTGTTTATGTATATTATCAATAATCTCACTTAATCGCATGAATGCCGAAATACCATGCAATTATCTTTTTATATCATATTTTAAACATATTTTTTTTATTTAAAAGTAATTTGTTTCTTCAGAATAGAGTATTTTAATTTAAAGTGAAATTGACCGTCATAAGGGTATTACATTAGCTTTCCATAACTAGTAATTGCACCAATGTGATACGATCCATATACATTTTTGATGTTAAATGTACGGAATAATATTCTTATTGCACCTAAAACTTTATTATACATGATCTTTTAATATATTTTACTTTTTTATCTAATTATTTTGGATGCTTAATGACGTATAAGATTTTACGAGGCAGAAGATTGTTCTTTCATACAAATAATTCTTCTATTTTGTTTTTTTGTTGTGTTCTACAGAAAATGCAAATATGAGTGACGTTTAAAAAATTTTCAGTTCAAAAATGTTAATTAAAATTACATCACTGGCTATGCGTGCACATAATAATATTATGAATTGTGAAGAATATAATAATAAGAGGCCGAAGTTGAATGCAAGGCATTATGTTTAATTAAATCATTTTCTTTTTCATTTAAACATTTTTTAGATAATTGAGAAAAATTCACCGAATTACATCTCAAATTGATTTATAAATACATTCAAATGTTTTCTAATATTATTTAATAATAACTAGCCAATACTTCTGATAGATTTTTTATTAATAGAATTCTAAAGTTGAGTAATGTATAATTTTTGATGGATATTTTGACGGAATAATTTCATTAGATAGATTTAATTTTTAAAATATAAATACTTAAAATAAATTCAGGTGAAAGGCAATGTAACAAAATCAACCTTAATGAATGAAGTTTAGGCCAGAATCGTTCATACACAATCAATTGTGCATTTCTAATCAATAATGTTCATCTATTCAGAAATATAAATTTGATTAATAACAAATTAACATATTTTTCCATGCTTTATTCTCTCAATTCCTATATATAAGGATGTATGGTAATAAAGATAGCTTAAGCTCTGCTAAAATATTAAGGTTTTAATGCTAACTTCTATTTCTGATTATTGAATTAATATTTTTTTTCATTGAGCTTAGAAAACAAGCTTTAGGTATATAAGAACAGTAATCTTAAATAAAGTACATTATTGATATGTTCATTTATTTAGATTGATTTAATTTTTAAATTATTTCTCTCAACATGACAGCATGTTTTCTAGTAAATGAAATAAGAATGTTGTAAGGATTAATTAAATAATTTTTCAACAATGTACTTTATTCACTTTTAATCAAACTACTATGAATATAATAAATGATTTAGATACATTCAAATTTACACTCTTAAACAATAACGAATAGTTGTAGGTTTATCATGTGTTCCAATTTATGATGACAGCATTCATTGTACCATTATCGTACTAGAAATGCATTTCTAACAGAATAATGGTTTGAATAATAACAGTGTGCTTTTTAATTGAAATAAATCTATTATTTGACGGTAAAAGCAAGAGGACAAAAAGACCGTAAAATTACTCACAAATATTCTTAAAAATAGTTTGTTAAATAAAAAAAATAAAAATTGAACATAAATAAACTTTTTTTTTTATAGTTATTAACAAATGATTAAAATTGTTTAGAGGTTTATATTTTTATTTTTCTTATTCACAAACTATTGTCTATAATTGAATTGTATTTAATCATTAAACATGATTTGCTATGAATTGATGAGTTAATAAATGATTAACTAAAATACGGTCTTAAGTACCCTTATCCGTAAACAATTTATGCACGTAGCTAATTATGTTTTTTATAAATCCTAATAGATTCTATACAACTTTAAATATTAGAGATAGTTTACCCGCTTAAAGGGTAAGCTTATGTAGTTAGTGAACACCAAGAAAGCTTATGCAATTGCTTACTTCAATGCAGTGAATATCACTGCAACTTTTCTTCATAACAGACTCTTACGAAAGAATCAAATCGATTGAAAAGATTATTAATCGATGCAATTTATGCTTTCTAATCATAATTACACATGAACATTTGTGTAATTGATATTTTATTCACACCCTCCCTGCTAAATTCATTCAACAATTTCTTTACTTGTTACTGATCTAATTGGACTTATACGGTGAAGAGCAATTATATTAGCGACTTTTCAAAAAACTTTTTTATACATATACTTGCAAACAGATATATCACTCAATTATTGTGCATCAAAAACATGTTCTGACATATTCAAAATTAAAATTAATTGCATTGTTACTTCACCTGTAAATGATTTTTCGTCACAGAAAAACTATTAAAAAAATTATAGGAATGCAGTACCATTTGTACATTTTCAGAATTTTTTTTTTCCATTGTTATTCAATCTTTATACGCCAATAAATTCATGATATACATAATAAGTGTCTATATAATCTCTCTCTCTCTCTCTCTCGCTCTTTCATTCGCGTTCACTCGTTTTACAATAAAACAATCGTATCATCAATAGCACCCAATACAATAAATTGAATAAATTAGCTGCATAATTATTTTTTTAAAATAACTACAATGATAATATTGATGTATGATTTATATGACAATGATTTCGTTCTGTATTTAATTATATTGGATTAGGTAATAGTTTATAATAACATAACTATCTAAGCTAACAATAACACTTTCTGTACAATATATGTAGTGACCTCAATGTTGTGTAATTTAATGAAGTAACGAACAAGTCATTACTTAATTATTTAATTATTATCATAATTTTAGTTAATATATTAATTGATGTTTCAAAACAGTAATCCGTAATTATTCAAATTTGACTTAACTTTCGTACGATATATTCAACAAAACATTAATATTACATGATTCTTCTGATAAAATTGGCTATTATTATCAATTAAGTAGGCGCTGCCGATTTAAATTTAATATTTATTGCGCTGCCTAACTATGTATATATATATTTAAATATATATATATAGATATATTTTTTATTTTTCAATCATATTATAATAATTATTACACGAATAAACACATACATTATTTTATATGTATTTATAAGTGTAGGAATACAGTAAGTGTTTATTAAACAAAAGTGATGATTTAAATATATATATCTTGTAAATGAGATATCTTTTAATTAATACTTCCAATATAACACCTATATTATATTATTGCTGCAGCAAAAGTTATATTTCATTTACTATTAACTTTATGTTGATATAATCGACATTTTTTGAATGTAATCATGTCTGCTACGTTTGTTTAATTTATATATAAATAATACATGGATGTATACGGAGTCGTGAATAAGTGGTATTTAACTTGGTGATGGACCATTTCTTTTTTTAGTTAATCTAATTATGTTTATTCAAAAGGTCATCATAAATATTTTTATGAATTTTTAATTTTTTTCATACCTAAACACAATGATATTTAGGTCGAGTGGTTGAATTATTGTTTTAACAAATTATTCGCGACATGAAATATTGTCAGATAAATTGAAAAATTGTTTTTAATCAACAAAATGAAAATATAATGATACTTTTTATGTACACACAGTGGTTACCTAAATGACGACAAAGAGTAACACGATAGGGATATTTTTACTGAATAACTGTGACTGGGAGTAACGATCTTGATACAATGAGAGTGCAATGGGTTCAACAATGATGATTATTATCATCTTGCTGATTAATTCTACTGGTGAGATTTGCCATGTGCCTGATGATTGATGATGAACATGATACATTTCGATACCGAACGAAGTGCACTTTTTTAACCAGACGGAGGTGATACTTCGTTCGAACTTGTGATTGGTGAACTGACCTGAAAAAAAAAGGTTTATAAAAATGTATCAATTTTTATTCATATATTAATCTAAAAATACTCGTTATTGATTCAATGCTGAAAAAGAATTTTTCTAGAATTATTCAGCGTTGATGGTGGGTTATTAATCTTAGAGAAAAATTATAAGATTTAATTTTTAATCCAATTTAATTTAATTAAGTATGATATAATGGTTTACGAAAATTGGTTAAATCCAATTTACTCTGATGTGACATTTTCGAATAGATTTGATTGGATCCAATTAAATGAGATAATTTTTAAAATCTAAATGGGTGTAGTAAATATAAATTTAATTTAATCTAATCATATTATTTTCTTAAGATTATTATTTACAATTATTAACAAAATTTATTAGACACATCTAGGGTATTTTTAAATTACTTTTTTAATTAAAACACTTTTAATTTCCTTCATCTTAGAGCTTTTTCCATCAATATTTACTTTAATTTGAAGTTCAAAGTTATTCAAGATGTTGTTTTATTAAAAGCTAATATTGTTGAGTAATAATTAATGAAATGTTATATTAAAAATAAAAAAATATTACCTGATTTTGGTGTTCACAGTCCAAAGTATCCACCAATAGTAGTGGCGACAATAACGGCAAGAATTGCAAGGCATATCATAATCATAATCTTCTTCTGCTCGCGGCAATAACAAAGATTAATAAAAAAAGTATTATTAATTGACGACATTACAATTAACCAATAATAAAATAACATATTGTTTCATTTTTGCAGCGTTTGCATATAAAATTCTAAACACAGATTAATTTTAAACATTAAACAAATTATTTTCATTTATGATGCTCTGTCCATTACTGCTGTACTACTAAACATTCAAATATTTATCTATTCGTTGAACCTGAAAAAAGTTTAATCTGTATTGTTAAATATTTTGATATTATTAAAATAATTTCAATTAATTTAAAAGTAATTATAAATATTATTTAATATAACAAATAATATTTTTAGAATTAAATAAAAAGTTTATTTACAAAATCATAAATATCATAAATCAAATCAGAGTAACAATTAATAATAAAAATAATAAATATGTTTTAAACTGATAAGTGAATAGTTTGTTCAATAATTCACTTTATAATCAATTATTGATGCATAATTTTGTAGTCAATTGTGTCGTGAAAAATTTCCTTTTCTTGAATGAAACAAAATTCATCAAGTCTTGCACCTAATAAATATCTCGAGAAACATTTTTGTTTAAGATTATTAAACATTTAATCATACAACATTCACTCTGTCTCTGTCACTCCATTGCTTTTTAAGGCCTTTTTTTGAAATCCTATTGCTTGTTAATTACATTTACATTAAAAAGAAACCTTATAGAAAATATAATAAATGCACGAGGAATTTATTTAAAAAATATTTTGAAGCGGAGTAACTGAAATAATACTTGATGAAAGTACTGATGTATTTCTAGAAGCCCCTTACAAAATTTAGAATTAACTTTATTTTTTCTTTATTTATAATGTGATATTAATATATTATAAACAAATGAAATAATTAATAATAAATTTCTTTCAAATAAATAAGTGCTAAAAAAATTTTCTGCATGCATTGGATTATTTATTTAAAAACAATTATTGTAAAAGGGATATTTTTTTTTAATTTTGTTCAACCCAATAGACTGAAAAATATTGATAAAGAATTTTTAGTTGAAATATCTCCAGAAAATTGAAACAAATTGTATGAAACAATTGAAAAAATAGAATAAATATTTTTATTAAGGGTTGAGCGAATAATTGAAAGTAAAATTATTTCTAGGAAATAGTGCTACAACCACCTAAGTATTTCCATGTCCATGCATCAGATCATGATTATTACATCAGACAAATACATCAAAATGTATGTATTTCAAATCCACTTTGCTCCAGCTAAATCTCTCAATTTAAAATAAATACATTTCAAAGAGCTAACGCGTAAACAGGAGTGCATTATTTCTACCAAGCTCATAGACAAAACCTACTCATGCATTTGGTATAACAATTCATAATCAGATTAATGTAAATCGAATATAAATAATATACAAAATAAAGTTAGCGAAATAAACATCAAGCAAGTTACTGTGACAAAATAGAGTATATGTAGCATCAACTACATACATACGTTTCTTACACCTATGTTTCATCACTCATCTAACTCTAATCCTTCCTGAATTGCAAAAATCCCTAGTGCATTCCAGTTTATCAAATTAGACAAGTTGAGCAATACGTACATCATTTGATTCATATCTTGTTTCTGTCAATAACGATCACACCTTTCATTGAAACATTTTTGTAAGAGACTTGTCTACCCTCATCACTACATTGATTATCACTACAGTGATTCGATGCTCGTCAAGCAGACACTATTTCCTGCTGGTGTCACCGTGGCATAGTACAGTTAACAAAAATATCTTTCGGTTAAATGAATTTGTGAGCAAGTCAGCTAAAGCCATAAAGTCAACAATTGGGAGTTCAACGTTGTCAACCTTCCATCGCTGACAACATGGAGTTTGATTGTTGCTTGGAATAATTGCACAGAGAAAAGAAAACATGACTCAGTACTATGCTACATACTAATCTCTTGATTTAAAAACTATTGTTATAAAAATGAATCTAAATATGAATGATTCTTATGAGCACAGTACTGATCACTGTCTAGAATAGTACAAGTTCTACAAATCACCAGAACTGTGCTCATAAAAATCATTAACGTTTAAATTTACTTTAATAATTTTTGAATTAATATATTATTGAGTATCACAGTACTTAGTCATGTTTCTTTTCCATGCAGGAGCAACCGGTTGCTGATAAACAAAAGGCGTGGTTTTTATTAATAATAAAAAGATATGAAACAGAAAAATGATAACTGTGGATCGAATGATGTACGCATCGCTCAGCTCATGCGATTTGATGAACTGGAGTGAAAAAGGAATTTTTGTATTCCAAAAAGGATTAAAGTTAGATGAGTGCTAAGGCGTGTGTGTTAGCTACATATATATATATATAACAATAATAGTAACAGTAGTAGTAGTAGTAGGACATAATAACATCTATTCCTGATCGATACTTACTCAGACTGATCCTCGACCCAATATACACAGTGCAAATATGTACAATATCTGTTGTCGTTCTTGAATCTCATTTTGCTTCAATTGTTTTCTATTTTTTTTTTTGTTACTACTCTCATTTTCACCTCCATTATGTAAACAGTCGCAGTAATTTTATAATCTTAAGTATCATCAACTATTCCTCACGTGATACATCATTTTTGACTCTTATTTATGTACATTATTGTTTATATAAATGAACATTTTTTGGACTGTAAAATGTCAACTACACTAAGTACATGTTTTTCATTGTTACTTTTAACCATTTTGTTCAATTTATTTAATCTACTATAAATTATAATGTCAATATAACTTAATTACTCTTAATTTATTTAATAATTAATAATTATTATGTATCTATTATTTCATTTATTGTTTATCGTATAGAGTATATTGGCGTGACAATCACTATTAACTTTGTGAGAAAAAAAAAATTACGAGCTCATTTGTTGCTTTTAATTCAACAATCCTGAAAATTATCCTTTTTTTTTCACTCGCACTCTGATTTTAAGTTTTTTTATTTTTTGATAAGTACCTATACAATAATATTATTATGTCTTTTGTCTTTCACGCGTTTATTTATTATTTATTACTATTAAATTGAACTTTCATATTTACATTTCACATTAAGTGATTAAGGGGTTTTTTTTTTGTCAATAAGTTATATTTATCAAATGTACGTATCGCATTATACTGCTTCGTTCAAATCATTGTGCAAGTTCAATTTTAATTTATTGCCGGCTTTTTTGGAAATTAATTATGATGAAAAAAATGTAAAATATTTATCTCAATCACAGCAAAATCTTTTGCGTAAAAAAATATAAATTAATTCCATAAAAGATAAATTTTATGAAAAATGTAAAAAAAATTATTTATAAAAATGTTAAAATTCTATTTTAATTTTATGTATGAGATTACAGTCCTAAATTAATTCACTTTTATGTTTCAAAAAAAGTGAAGATAGAGATTGTATAAAAAGTGACTAGTTCTCATACAAAAATACTGAATTAAATTGTTAATTTATAATTTTGACTAGTGTTTAAATAAATTATTAAAAAAAACAAATTATAGTCTGGAATATAAATAAAAAAATTTAAAACTACAATATTTAATATTTGGCAGTTTTTGATGAGACTGAGATTTAACAATTAGGATATTCTACATTTTTTTCGTCATTTCATATCTAGCCTTAGTTATGTCCCTTTGTTTCAACTGTCTATTGGTAAACAGAACAATTAATTAATGTATATTGCAACTTTTTTTTTAAATGAAAATTTGTGTAATTATTTTGTGCAATGCATCGACACTGTATTTCCTTTGTATTTTTTTTGTTTTGTTTCCTTGTTCATCTTAATGTTTCAACCAAAATAATAATTAAAATGATGACCGCCACTGTCAGGCAGACTACAATCAGGATCAATTTCTGTAAACAAAATAATGATCATCAATTTTTTGTTCTTTTTATGTTTTAATATTAATACATTTTTTTAATTAGACTTCTGACTGAGTTAGTGTGTTATTCGGATCACCAATGACAGTTTGAATGAAAGAATGTTAAGCATTTCAAGAATACTAAGCATGTTCAATTAGTCATAGCTTATGATTACTGTTATTTCATTGTATCTTTAATAGTATAAATAAGATTATTTTTAAATACACTGAGTGTTTACAAAATCTGTTATGATTTTTAGAAATTTATTAAAAAGAATTATTTTTAAAAAATGGTTAGTTGCAGATAAAATACTATATTTTATTGTATCTATTTAAAGTATAAATTTTTTTTTATCATAAAACTGAATTTATCTAGCAATTTTATTTTTAATCTTTTTTAATTTCTTGTTTTCTTCATTTCCTTGCAAGTGACTCAACTAATTGGACTCGCAATTTCATAAATCCCAAGTTATCTCGAGATGTATCAAGAAAAAAACATTTCAAATAAAATTGGTTAAACTGTTTTCAAGAAATCCTAAATACAGAGAGCTATTTTTTTTCCACATCGTAGACATCGTAACAACATTCAATTACAACATTTTTTTTTTATCAGATTCCTAGAATGTTAATAAAATTTAATATCATCCTTTTGCAATTTACTTTACTATCGAAAAGTAATCTTTAAATATTTAATCAAACACTTTTTGATAAATAATTCACATAATAACATCTCTCTATTTTCTAATAGATTTTTTAATACCCAGTGCATTTTTTAATATTAATATTTGCATCTCTGAAAGATAAAAAACAAAAATACAATCATCTTTTCTTAATGCATTTAATTCAATATCACACTGAGAGAAGGACTTTTTTTTACAAAAAAAAAAAGAAATGTAACTGTTCAGCTGAATGATTTCTTTCTATTCCAAATAAATATAAATTTTAAAAATAAAATTACTTCAAAAAGGCTGTTGTCTATTCAAGAAAATATAATTCATTTAAAAAAAATTGCTTTTTCAATAAAAATACATTTTTCTCTCAATGTAATAAAAAGTTAAATGTAAAAGAAAAAAAATCAAATTTGTTACTATTAATGTAAACAACGTTAACAGCAATCTCGAAGTAAAAAACTTGTATAGAAAGCTTTAGTACTATAAACTTAGCGTTGATGAGCTTGCATGAAAGGACATACAGATAGTACGAGAAGAAAAGTTCTCACTTTTTATGCTAGTCGCGTGAAGGGAATGATGATCGATCGTCTGTGGCCTCGTCCGACTATTACATTGTGACCATACAACCACGATACAGTAACATATACATGTCACATGTGATCTCCCTCTAATTTTCTTTCATTTTTTTTAACCTGTTTTTCTCATCTATTAATTATATCAATTACTCTCTCCATTAGAGTTGCGATTCGGACGAGACAACGACTATCCAATAATGTGTGACAGCACAAATGGATTCAATGATCAGCATTCAACCTTTCACATCACAATATATATGCGACATGTGTATAAATATGTGCGTTAGTGTTTGCATTTTTAACTTATACAAAAAAAAAAAAAAAATATATAAATAAAAAGATTATTAATTTAATCATTTATACATTTTGCTGAAGAAAGCACAATTTATACAATTACAGTTAAATGTGAGAGTTATTGCATTGCTACATTCCTTTTGAGATTTTAAGTGGCAGCTTATTTTTATTTTTTATCTAACATTTTTTTCTCTTTTTATTTATTTATGATGATGAACTCTTCATTTCTAAGTTATTATAATTATTTATAATTTCATTCAAAATTGAAACGATTAAGATTTGTTTAGGCATAAAGATTATTTACAAAATTCAATAAGTACAAGTTTTTGCATTTTTTTTTTTCTACTTTTAATGTTTTTCTGTTTGTTTATATCTGAATTTCCCGTTTATTTTAACAGAGAATATTTGTCTGAGAGAAAAGTAATACTGATGAATTATTTGATGATCATTTTGTATGATAAATCAGAAAAAAAATCAATTTTAGCGACACGTATTTATACTTTATATATATTTGACGAAACGAGTTTTATTATAAGATTTATTTGTTTTTTTTTTCTTTCTTCTTTTATATAGGTACGATTGCATCAATTATCACGCGATTATTGTTTTCTTTAAATCCTCACACTAAATAGAACACTATAAATAATTGCAATCCCTTTAATAATTTATCATCAATAAAATTTTTTATCTGAAAAAGTTTTTCTAATAGATTGATTATTATTCCTTTTTTTTTCTAATAAATTGACATTATTTAAATTTAATCGAAACACATGTATTGAAATAATGTAAAATTTGAGTTAAAAATTTTGCCAATTAATTTCTGTTAAATAGAATTTCAAAAGATTTATTTCTACAAATGCCCTAAACGATTTGGACATCACATATTAAAATCTTCTCTTATCTCTTTTTCTATACTTTTTCTCCATTTATTTCGGTCGTTTAGGGTATTGGAAGGCACGCTAGCAGAATGGAGATTAATATGATGACACTTATTACGACGCAGATCATAATGAAGATCATTTTCTGTGGACAGAAAGTATAAGTTATAGGCATGAATATTAATGCATGATCTTATGTTGACCATGCATATAAAAGCATTCATTCAATAAATTAACTAATTTTATTATCACTATTGTTGAATGAAATTTGAAACAAAAAAAAGTAGGAATACTTTTTATTCATGATCATATAAATATAATGAGATGAAAATAAATTTTTGTTTATTGTAAATAATTTGTTAAGAAATAAAGCAAGAAGTAAAAACGGCGTACGTAGTTATATTTTATCAAGAAACTACATGCTGGTGTTAATTTAATTTAGTGGTGCAGATTTTTGTAAAATGTGTGTTAGTGCTTGCTTCATTCTATTTATTATTTGGAAGAGCTATATTAAGTCATTTTTTTGTTATTTATCATCAACATTAATTCAAGATGAAGTTTAATTTCAAGCTCTTTCAAATAAGTGTGCTATATAATAGTCTACAATTAATTCTACTAAAAAATTCCATTTACAATAACATTAAAAATACTTATCTAAACACTATTATGGTTTACAATAAATATTTTAGCTACTGTTTAAGTGTATATACATATCAAAGTCCTATCAGAAAAATAACTTACGTGTTTCATGCTTATGTTAAGTTCGGAAATCTATATCTACATTGTGTTAAAAAACAATCAACAAGACGTGTGTGTAAGTGTGATTTTGAAGGTCTGTACTATCATCAACTTTACATTGTATAATTCGTAAAAAATTATTATAGTTTAATATTTATTTTAGAAAAATAATAGAATTTTTAAAACTGCAAAAGTTTGAGTATATGATCATTGATAATTAAGAAGAAAAAATTATGATAACTTATGTTTTTCTTTTTTTTTAAACTTTTCTCTTCATTGTTTTATTTATTACACTGTTTGTTTACAATATTTTAATGTTAATAAGAGACAACACTTAGTATGAAAAATATTCAGTAGATATTAATACAACTCTACAATGAAAACTAACTTTTACGTACATGAATCACTTATGTGAATAAGTTTAAATAAATAATTTATTCAATTGTATATTATCTACCATTTTTTGCAGTTATTTGTCAAATAAAAATTGCTGGACTGAATTAACTAATATTTTTATAATATTGATTACATTTCAATATCTGTTTTTAACAATACCTTACACGTATTTTAAAAATAACTAGTCTTATACAATTTTCTATGCTTAAAAATGTAGATCCAAAAATTTGAAATTTTACAAATCAGTTCCAGCACAAAAAACTCCCTAATGGGAAGTTAAAAATGAGGCCAGTGTAGTTACATGCATGTGTAGTATTTTATCTTCAGTTTTACTACTTACTTTGTTCCAGAGTACATAATAGTAAGATGATAGATAAAAGTTTTCTAGACCAGTAATCAACTATTATTCCATTAAAATAATTAATTTCTATAAATATTCAAATTATCCCAAATAATTAGTATCTCTATTTTAACTAAGATTAAAAATAATTCAAATCCTCTCCAATATACTTTCCATTTTACAAAAAAGTATCAAAGTTAATTGTTGTTATCTTGATTAGTAAAACCATCTGGATCAAAAAAGAAGGTAAGAATAATAAGATAAAAACAAAAAGAATGATGGAATTTGTTATGAAAGTTATATTACTTTGTGAAAGACCAGTTGTATGTTAAGATATAATAAAATACAACTGGATGGTTCCAGGCAGAATTAGAAATATTAGACATGGGAAGACCAGTTTGGAGCTAGACCAAGTGTGCACATAAAAGGCACTACAAGTTATGGAAAAATCATTTCCATTGAAGAATGACAGGATAACCATCATTATTGAATATATTATCATGTCAATGTTGACTTTAAGAAGTTTACCTTGCGCCTCTTGCCCTTATACCGTCCAGCCTTCCTGAGTCCATCTCGAGCTTCATCGATGTAGTCACCAGTTTGAGTGACGTGGTATTCAACGGTATCCACCAATTCACTCTGCCATAACGCGCATAGGAATTGGGATGAAGTTTGTGAACGGAATCAATAGGATAAAAGGAGATTTGATTGTGGTGGGAACAAATAGTAGTTGAACAAAAAGGACAGCATGGCAGAATCCAAATTTTTCAATGCGACACCAAACATATCAACGTTTTATATTTTTTCCATGGAATTCATAACACGCGGACACGTATATAAATATATATATGTAGGTATGAAGATGAATAATAATAATAGGAATAAGATAGGCAATTATTAACGTTCCCAGTGGTGTTCAAATATTTAACACACACAATATAGATAAATATATGTACAACATTTGGTGATAAAAAATAAATTTTTGATTAATTTTATACACATTACAATTGTTTAATTGATAATTAGTATTGTTAAAATAAGACAGAGCAGTAGTGGACAGAGACACACAATCAGCACACCCATGTTAAAAACAGGAAACACATAGTTTAATAAACAAGCACACGTATAAATATATATAGATATATTATTTTATATATATTTATAAGCATACAATAATATTTTGTTATTTTTCAAAATTAAAGCATCGTACACACATGAAACCAAGTAATGTTATGTATGTAGTAATTATTGGTAATTATTTTTAGTATACACATATAAGTGTTACGCCGTTTTATGAGTATGAAATAAGAGTCAAGTTTTAGATGAATGAACAAATACAAAAAAAAAAAGGTATTATAAATGAAAAATGGCAATTATTAGAAAAATAATAGGAAGTTGGAAATGGAAGTTATTAGTGGATTTGAAGGTGTGTTGGAAGAATTGGATGGGAAATGAAGATTATGAGATTGGTATGGAAAATTGAAGGGAAGAAGAGGAATAGTAGGATGGATGAAGGTAGAGATGGAGGAGGGAGAAAAAAAAGTGATCAATTAGATGTGAACGAACATAGATATATTGATAATATTGGGGGGGACTCACCCGTCGGGCTTTGCTTTGATACTTGAGTGCTTTTTTGGTGTCCTGCGTGGCCGTCTGCACATAGTCGACTGCGTGCTCCACGTGATATTCTATGCGATCTATCATCTCACCCTAAAAAGGTACGCGGCGCAACCCCACATTATAAATGATAAGTATGTTAGTATCAGATATCTAAGTAACATGCAGTTTATCTTTACATATAGTTATTTATGATTATATTTTTATTCCTTTTTATTTATGCACACATGTTTCAGGATTTTTATGATGAAGCATGAACAATAAAAAATATAAAACCTCTAGTCATTTTAGAAATTATTCCAACAACAGTTTGTGATTGGTAACTTCTGTGAGAGAAGAATTTTTTATCACTTACTAGTGATCAATATATTGACAGTGACATGGTAACATTCTAGTTTAGTCTCTTCAAAGTAAAAAGATTGTTTATCTATTAAACATGGTGACAATGCATGATCCAACTATGTATCATCTCCTCAACTTATGATGTAATTAAAGCTCATTCAAAATAAACCAATTGGTTTATTGTAAAATATTATTGGTAAACATTCAATGATGATCTATCTTTTGAATAGTAAAAGTAAAAAAATATTAAAAATGTTTTTGATGTACATGGATAAGTTTTTTTTATTAAATGATAATATTAAAAAGTTTCAAATAATATGCAGTAATTGATCAATAAACTACCAACATCATTTTCTAAGTAGGAAGTTAACTGTATTGGACCATCAGAGTCCTGGTTCATTTGATTGAGTAATAATTTTAAAAACATTACACATGATTGATAGATTTACAAAATGATTTGTAAAAGTAAAAAAGTACAGTGAGAAATATTTCAATGAATTTAAAACGCTAGAGTATTGCATAGTACACTAGGTATAAATCCATTGAATTTATTGAACCTATTGAATTGGAATCGTTAACCTTTACTCTATAATGTGGATAAAATTTTTTATTTATTGAAGAAACATCTTCGACCTTTCAAGAGACTTTTATCTGATTTTTTTTAATCAATAAAGAGCTTTTTATAATTTTTTTCTAGTATCGATTATTATTAATATTAACAATTACTGTTCAATTTTCACTCTGAAAACTCTGTGAAAATAAACTGTTAAGTGATATTGAAAGTAATTTAATAAAGTTTCAAAAAAAAATAATATAAACATTGGAATATATCTCAGATATAGGAATGTTTATTTCATTAAAAACAAAATATTTAGAATTTCAATAACTTTGTTACTATCTAAATAATTTTCACAAGCAACTGGGTACAATTGATTTCCCATCAATACACAAAAACATAAAATAATACAAGTTTGGAATGTTTTAATGTTAAAAAATTTCTCTAATTAATTATAAAAACATTTCATATTATCTAAAGAACATTGTACGAACAATTCGATAATGTTTATTATTACCCATAACTTAATTGCCAATATTAGTACATTAACGTTCAAACCCTCTATCGACAACAATTAAGGTCATACTGGTAGTTACTTGTGAAAAAATATTTTATCAGCTAATTAGTTATATTTGTTTTCAGTTAAAAATAGATATTTTTGTACATATGTATTTAACAATATAATAAAGTTTTTCTCGGATTCATTAACTTACCATAAACTTTACTTCTAATAAAATTATTCATTAATTTAGTTATTTTAAACACGTAAAACTCATACAACTACAAAGTTAATTGGAATAAACAAAAGTTCATAAATAACATGTGTGCTTGTGCATATTTAACTTTATAAATATTCATTGACACTTAAATTTTATTTAAAATTATTCTTTATTTGATTTATTGAAAGTTAGGTTTATTTTTTCGCAGCAATAGAATTTTCTTTTCATGTAATGATGACAGGAATAAAAATATTATCTTTATACTTTTTTTAAAGATAAATCAGGAGAGCATGCAGTAACTAAAATTTTCAATCTTATTATTTATTTCTTTTAACTACTACTTAATTATATATATTTCTCCATTTTGTTTAAACTTTATTTAAAAATAATAAATAATTTTATTAAAATTTTTTAGTTAAATTAAATGAAAGTTCTTTCAATGGAAGATTAAATATTAGATATATAAGATAAAATATATTGATTTTATGAAACAGATAACTTTTGTTCTTTTTTCATTAAGAAGTTTTGAATTGTACAATACATGAGAGGTATTTCACATAAGTTTAGTCAACTTTTAAAAACTTTTTATCGGCAAATAATGTCTCGATATATATTTTATAAGAAATAAATAAATAAAAAATAAAGATTAAATCGTCTTAAAGGAAAAGACAGGGAGACTAATATTAACATCAATTACAAACAATACAAAAGGAAATCATTAGTATAATTAATTGTACTTTACATGGAAAATAAAATTAGTCTTTCCAAGATCAGCGCCGCGTACACTGTTTATTTATACTACGCGGATATTTTCAATGTAAATCGATAATAATATAAATTTAAATAATTATTAATATTTTTCATAAATTTAGCACTTTCAATTGACTAGTATTTAAATTTAGTTATTCGAGAATTTAATTTTATAATTATTTAAATAAAATGCAAGAATGAAAGTTATTATTAACGCTTCCACGCTGTTGACTTTTATTTTTATAAAATATTATGTTTATTAATACCAGCCACGCGACATTTCAAGCTATCAAACTGAATAGGGGATCATTTTTTTCATTTAATTGATACACAATGCTTGTCACGATTTACTTTTGAATTATTATCTATTTTTTTTTATTGGATTGAAAATTAAAATTATAAAAAGAACTTGAAGTAAATGGTACTTTTATCGTGTCAAACATAAATGTTTCATTTTTACACTATAAATAATAGTTAGATAAAAAGATTCTTAGCTCTGAATGCTAAAATATTTTTACATATTTCAAATTAAAAATATTTATTAGCATAAAAGAATTTAATAAAATGATTATTTTCTTTAATATTGAATAAAAAAACGTTGAAATGTTTTCAATAAAAACCAAAAATAGTTAAGTAAATATAAGAATTTTTGTAAAAATAATAAATAAATATCTTTCTATTTTTTTTTATCACAAGAATAAAATGGTGTATGGAGTATTATTTTTCTTAGAAATTTTACCTTGGAAAAATGGTTATTCTAACTTTTATAAAGTGAAACAGTGTATAAAATGTGTGTTCCGAGAGCTAAGAATCTCCTATGAATACCAAATCTGTATATTTATAAAATAATAGATAAAATATTAGGAAAATTTTTACTTGAATAACTTTTAAATAATATTTTAATAAAAGCAATAATTTATTAAATCATAATATCTCTGATTATTATAAATATTTCTATTAAAAGTTGTTAGACAAATTTTGCCTTTATTTGCAATAAAAAATAGATTAATAAGCTTTGAATAAATATTTAATTCAATTTTGTAACAAAAAGAGAAAATTTTCCTTCAATATTACATCATTATTAATTTCTGTTTTTTTTTTTATTTTAATAATAATGCTTCAAAAGTATCAGAACAAAATCGGATTATTCCACTTCTAAAAATATTTAATGAGTTACAAGTAATATAAACTTTTAAATAACTAATCGCCTTCCATTGAGTAAAGTATCTTTTAATTTTTTTGTTCAATAAATAAGTGTTACTATTCAGTCAGAAACATTTCAATTGAAGAATAAAAGACGATAATGAATTAAAATTAAATAGAATTGAAATCAATTTTGATAATGAATGGAATTGTTCAATTTGTACTGATACATCTGATTTTGATTGAACTTTAAAAGTAAATAAAACAAAATTAATTGAAATAATGAAACTTACCTGGCTTTCAACTAACATAGCCATGTCCATGAACATATCATGAAGTTCTCTGATAGAATTTTCTAATTTTATAATATCAGCATGACGAGCTTCTATGTCAGCAAGGGTCTGTTTGGCTTGTTGCGTTTCCATGATAATCTAGAGTGAGAAAGAAAGTAAAAAAATTAAAATTGCATCCAAGATCTTCAACTAATTTTAACAAGCATACTCCAAATAAGTCATCAGATTGCCCAGAGTTGTGAATTAATCTGATTTATATATTAAATAATGTTGATATACAGGAGTTAGTATTCATCAAGTCATACCCCTTGTGTGAATACTGCTGGATTTCCCTGCTCTAACATTTCTTCAAGTTCTTCATTAGTCGTAGTTCTCCCCGCTGCAGAAAAAAATTATTATGAATATAAAACTCTATAATACAAAGCATGACGAATATTTAAGTGTTAAATAATAATAAAAAATAATGAAACTTACTGATCTCAAGCTGTCGTTGTATTCTACCCTTACATCGTTCTCTGTAATCAGTTTGTGTCCGATTGTACTCAGTCATTACTTCAACAAACTTTCTAGATAATGTAGAATGTTGAGTCTTGCGTATCCTCAAGTCTGCTGAAGATTTATTCGTGTGCTCTTCTTGTTCGATGTTCTGTTCTATCACTGGAATTACAGACAATCCAACAATTAGAAATCTATTACAAGCCAATTTTTAATTAAAGAAACTCACCCTTTAATTTAGCACGAACTTTATTAGCGGTTTTCTTAATATCAGCCATGAGATCCTCCAGCTCCATTTTGACCTCTGCAACAAAATTGAAAATTTATGAGTTTCATGGAATTCAATAATTCATTTTAAGAATAAATCATCAGCATATTAAGAGCCATTTCAAGAATAATTCATGTGGAAATTCAAGTTTTAATCTATTGAATCAACAAACCCAACTCAACAACAGTTGGAATTTGCTTCTTGTTTTTTAGTTTTCAACATGTGAGAGCAAACAATTTTTTTAGAACTGAACAAAAAGAGTAAATCATATAAAGCTAGAATACAATGGACAAAACTTGTACTCGTCAGGTGTCACTTGAAATATTCTGACATGTATTTCATAAGCTACAACTGACATGTGAGAAAAAAAAAACAAGAATCAGCTTTAGTACGTAACATATCTGTTATATATTTGTAGGATTTACAAGTTCGCAAAATTTATAGATTAATTTGCTATGATGTTTGGATCTAACAAACCTAATCCTCCACAAAATTTGTTCAATTGGAACCCCTTTGGCATCATGGCTGAGGATCAATATTGGAGACAATGAAAAAGTAATTAGGATGAATAGATCGTGTCATTCAGTGGATCAGAACCGATTTAGTCGAGGTCAAATAGTTTAACTTTTCATGCATGAATAATGTAGTCTAACTTGTTCAAGTTCTTTCTTTCTTTTTATCAAAAATCAAGCTGTAAAATAACAAGAAAGAACTAGACTTTCAAAAGAGCATTTAAGATTTTTCAACCAAGGAAAAGAAGCATCTCTGAAAAATGATAATGTACAAAAGTCCACCTCATTAAAACTATTTTAGCTAAGCTTTGAAAAGTAAATTTGTTTTTTTTTTGAATAAAATATAAATAATAGCTTTTGATCATGAAACTAATAATTCAATTTGTCAAGATATTGAATAATATATTTTCTAAACTCTAAAATGATTGGAATATGATTATAAAGAGGTCAAAAGGTGAAACGATTCACTTTAAATCTTAGGCGACAGTTGAGAACTCCTCTGAAATATTGAGGTGAAAAGAATTATTGAACGAATTTTCCAATTTTCATTGATCTAAAATGAGATCGTTGGAAATCCATATTTTCTTTTCAATTCATCACCAACAAAAACTGTCATTTCATTTTGAAATGATATTTATGCCGTATTGCTTTTTTCAACTTTTATACGACATACTATAAGCTCCTCAATATTTTATTAATTCTAATGATGAGAAGTTTTTTCCATCTATTAATATACCCTTAGAGCTATTCTTTAAGTACGACAAGAATTGGAAATATTTTTCTCAAAATTATTCAACTAATTATAATTAAATAAAATTTTTTTATAAATAAAGAATGTCTAAATAATTCACAATGGATGTTAAAAAAATTTATTGACCAAAGAAAAGACTTCATGTTCTAAAAGATCTTGACTTAATTCTATTTTTCTTATTTTTTGTCTCCATTTATTTCTTTATAAAAGTAAAAAATTGTCTGTAGAAGTTTCTTTTGAATGAAAAATGATTTAAACGAAGCCATTATGTAAATTCTATGGTGATATTTTTCAGCAGTAATTAACAACAAAAAATTGTATTCATTTTTTATCTTTATCTGTAAGAAGCGTCGGAACGAATTCTGGCTACTCTACTTTTTCTCAAAAACCAGTTTTTTTAAGATTTTTTTTTTTCATGTTTTATTCAACTCTCTTTTACTTCATGGAGAATCAAAATTGGATTTCATCTAACTTTACTTAAAGCAATATAATCAATTTTTAATAAAAAATTCAAGTCAACTATTTTTTATCTTTTTTTTCCAATCAACTTTCTCAAAATTCTAGCAAGTAAAGTTACTTGACATTTGTCTCAACCTAAAAAAAACCTACTTTATTTTATTCTTATACTAAGAATTCGTAGAAAATTAATTTCTATTCCAACTGACATGTGACATTTAATATAATAAAACCTAATTACTGGATCAATAATCTTTTAATTTAAAAAACCAAGTATAAATTTTCTCTTTTTTTTCTGGTATTTTTATTCATTAAATACTATTTGAGTTCGAAATAAATTTATTAGAAAAGAAAATAATACAGGAAACAAGACATAAATACAGTTAGGGAATATTGACAAATAGAATTTACTAATCGCATCCCTTACGAGTTCCATCTCACTACATAGAAAATTAGGTTGATGTGAGATGGGAACGTGCCAGACTCTATTCCCCAGTGTTCGTCTGCTATACCACTTCTCATTCCTTATGTCAGAATAGAGTTGCAAGCAGTCCCGATTTAGGGCTGTAGAATCTAGGGTCTAGAGGAGGATGAAAGAAATAACTTATTCAAGATGATAATGAGATCAGTCTGAATAAAAGTGGACTTTTGGCCAACAATTCCTTTAATACCCTTTTTTATTACCTTGAGACTTAAATATCACGAAATGCATCAGAGCTTAAGTCTCATTTGTAGTAGTTGTGATATTCACACCAACCTGCTGAAATTGCTACACCCAGCTTAAACTGTTTCGAATAATTCCGTCAATTAATCGATAACCTGGTTATACTATGACTTGTTGAAAAGGTGAACACCCAGCCAAGAGCCACTTATCTGTGGTGGTTGCTGATAACCCACAGCTTCCAACATGTTATACTTTATTCCTTTATTCCCCATGATTTCATCTCAGCAAAAATTGAGATGAGTTGTCCCAGATGGAAGTAACCATGTCGAGAGTAAAAAAAGAACCAAGAAACTTGAATGTTAAACTACTCTCTAGAATAGATAAGCTTCAAATGAATTTTAGCTGTAAATTTTTATCATGTTAGCTTTCAAAACATTTATTTGAATTTACACGAAACATTGGACATTGATGGATATGGTAGACTATACACGAAGGTACAATAACAGAAATTAAACTTAATAGATCATAGAATTTGAAGAAATAAATTGCTTGAATGATTTTCACCAAAATTAGTCTTTTAAAAATTGATATGATAGACTTGTTGGTGGGGAAGCTTTGATAAAATGAATATCTTTTTTGAAGTAAGTACAAAATAGAGAAGTTGACAAGGATCATTATAATGTCAAGCCAAAGTAAGTTATTATTCGACAAGACTATAGAACTTCTTAGGTAGTATAGTCTTAAAGATGTTCAATAATGAACATGTAGGTAAAGAATCTTGTTCAAACAATCAAAGAAAAGAATTGGAAATTAAGACTGTTGTAAAAATAGACTTTAAATTCAGACATGGTTGGAATAAAAGAATTTGTAATAAAAAATATAAGTCATTTTAAAACATGCTGGAAGCTATGAGACCTCATCTTCAACTACACCTGTTCCAATTTATTATACTGTAACAGTTACAACAATAGGATATTTTTTTCTGTAAAAACACCTTATTGATGATCAGGATTTTTAATATAAAAGAGTAAGACAAGTAAAGATAAAATTTCATTCAAGCAATTCAGAAAGGTATAAGAAGAGAAAGTGAAGAGAAAAGATACAAAAACGATTTCCTAGGGAATGATAGCTACAAGTAATTCGGTCAAGAACCCTGGAGGCTGAACAATTTTAACTTGAGCACATTGCAAGTCAATAAAGCTTTGTTTATTACTTTTTCTTCTTTCTTTTATTCATTAAATGACCCACAATAAAACTGTGGAACGGCTACGACTTTTATTATATAATTCTACAATGAGTAGTCTTTCCATTATGCCTGATAAGTGATTTGTAAAACAAAAGGATTAATGTCAACCTTTTATGGAGTAGGTGGCAATGATAAAAAACTATTTGAATATTTTTCATTTTTTTTCAAATGTATAATCCAATATTAAACTAAAATCTTCTTTTATGCTCAACAATCGTAACCAGAGGTTTATATCAAATTAGTTTAAATTTATTTATCAAATATGATAGTCAGAATTATTTTATGATTTTTTTAACCATGTTATGAGCTGTCAAAGGAAAACACACACCTTTCAACATCAAGCTTTCATAATTCTAGAAAAAAAAACCGCAAATCAATCTCTTAAAAACCATTTGAAAGCTGAAAATATCCTCTCTTCACTATATCTACTAAATTTTTCAAAAAAAAAATTAAACATTTTAACTTTTATTCTAAAATTGAATTAGAAAATCATTTTATTTTATTTTAGAGTAATCTTTTCTGCAATCTATTACGGCAATCTAATTTTTTTCTATTTGAAAATGACTTTTAAAAATATAATGATGAATAAAAATTTGAAATGATTAAAATTAATGAAATTTTTTTTAATATTATGAAAGCTCATTTCTATCCGGTTTGATCAAAGAATCTGAAGAAGAGTCTATATTTCAACGACAGAATATTAAACAAGGATTCTCTTGTTATCGATGGATCAGATAAGACTTTGTGGTCTAAACTGTAACCTTCTTTCGTTTCAGTTTCTATATCTTGATAGCATCTCATCAAAAGAAGTGAAGACGACTAGACTTTAATCAAGTTAGGCAATAAAACTTTGTAAACTATTTTAACAGATTTTTTACATTTCAATGCTTTCGTGTTAAATATAAAACTTGTAAAATAACACTAACATCATTTATTTTATCATTTTCCTCTACATTTAATACGTAATAATGTGTTTGTATTTGTATTAAATCAATAAAAAAACAATCAATCAATATGACAGCCATCTTGATGTCTGGACTGAAAAAAAAAACTGGCTACGCTAATGAAACTAACTTTTAATAAATATTAAATAAACTCGATAAAATTATGATTAATTGAATAATAAGGTCTTTAATAGATTTGTTAATTTGTTCGAGCTATTAATTTATTTTGGCAGTGTAATATATCATATTGAATAATGAGTTGATTATCTAAAGAGGAAGTCAATGTATTTAAAAATACTTTGTAAAATTTATCAACCAATTTTTGACCTCATTTACTTCCCTAACAATCTATAAAATATTTAATCTATTTTATTTTAATCCAATAATTGTGACGGAAAAGTTTTTAATAATTTATTTCTTTACTGTAAAGATCTTCGGTCTATAATAAAAAAAAATAATTTGA